ACTTTGAGCTTGTAGTCTAAGATGACTCTCCAGTGCAGTGTTAGGGGAGTGTTGCATTGTTGAAGGTGCCAAGCTTCATACGAGATGTTAAACCAAGGACTCATCTGCATGTTTTTTGTGGGGAATTGCGGCAGCCAATTCAGATGGTATTAGCGCCTTATCACGTTTTCGAGAGTCTCAATATACTGTAGTGAATTGACTGTATATTTTGTGGGCGAAACACGACAGCCAATTGCGCACAGCAGTGACCCACAAACAGTCGTGGATTGAAGTGGATGGAATTATTACCCCTGGAAAAGCGATTCATCATTCGACTAACAACCAGGTTCCTAGTTATTCAAAAAGAATCCTACTTATGGCACTATTCGAAAAAAAAAGGAAGTTTTCCCAAATGCCCTGCCCAACAATTCCCCAGAAAAAAATTAGTCATTCGCTCCACGATTGTTTGTGAGACATTGCTGTGTGCAAACTGGCTACAGAATCCTGTGAATTACTGAGAGACGACCTTCCAAAGTGAATGTTATGAAGGATTATTAGTATTACAACAAGGGATGCTTTTAAAATATTTTCTTCATTTAAAACTGTGGGACATTGTATTTTATTTTCTATTATTTTAGCTTTGTGGCTGGAGTGGGGGGGGGGGGGGCGGTCACTGAACTAAATTAATGTTGCATTACGGGTCCTGATAGTTGAGTCAGTTGAATTACTTCAGGAATGGATGTGTGAGCAGAAACTGGCTGGTGGGAGGTTCTGCGTTCTTGGCTTAAGGCAAATGTCTTCAGGACTGTGAACACATTATGGGGAGGCCAGGTCTGTTGGTGGAAAACTGGAAACTTTAGATTGTGGGAATGACTCACTCTTGCAACGTGCCTAAACACGGGCTTAGTGAGATATCCCAGGAAAGGTGCCAGCAAACGCCAGTCAGTTCCGCAGACTTTTCCCTCAGAGCGTAGCTAGGTAACCGACGGACTGAAAGTCGTGTGAAATTTTCTAGACTGGGAGCTTTATCTTGCCTCCTACTCCACATCGCAAGCCCATCAATGTGGGATAAGCGCTCTCTCCGTTCTGTGCCTTTTGCCAATGTTTTGCACGTCGAAATGACTGTCAGTGTTACTTTGAAGTTAATGGTGAGTGTGTCTCTGTGGCGGGTCCCATCCATGTCAAATGGGATCTGCCCATTATTATCGCCACCATCAAAGTCACGGCACATAAAGGGAACGAGATTTTCAGCCCTGTAGTGTGTGTATAGTAGAGCACTATGCAACCCTCTTTGCCTGGAGATGTACATAGATTATGAATGAACACACACATACCAGCATATGATTTATATTCAGGCTTCAATCCCAGTCTTGGCTAAGGCTCCGAGCTAAACAATGAATCGAACAAAAACCCACTAGATTTCAATCGCAAGACCTGGCCATTAACTCAGCTGATAATGGAGTTTACGTGGTTGGCTTCTTACATTCATGTAGGGCTCAAAAACAATGACAGAGATTTACAGGTGTGAGGGAGAGAGACATAGAGGGATATGGGAGAGAGTGACAAAGGGAAAATAGAAGAGTGCGGGAGAGAGGAATCATTAGCACTCGCCTTGCAAGCGAGACACCTGGGTTCAATTCCAGGCAGGGCGAAACCATGGGCAAGTTTCCTTACTCTACACCACACGCCTAATAATAATCCCTCCAAAACAATAATAAATTGGTCATTTTCAATACACGACTGTTTGTGGGACACTGCTGAGCGCAATTGGCCGCCACGTTTCACTCACAAATAAACAGTCAAATTACTTTACAGCATATTCTGTGAAGCGCTTTGAGACGTCTAGAAGACGTGAGAAGCGCTGTATCAAATGCAAGGATTATTATTATTATTATTGTTCATATTATCCATCCAGAGATCACAGGCTCAGAGAAACAATGGGGCAGACACCAGGAAGAATTTGCATACAAGGAGGGCAGCTGGAACAGCTTAAAAGATCTGCCATGATCTAATAGACTGGTGAAACTGAGTCAATGGGCAGAAAAAAACTCTTATTCCTGTGATTTGAATAGGTTAACAGGAAAGGTGGCTGAAGCCAGGGGACCAAACCCAATTTAAAAAAACACAGCTGGATTCCGTAATGGGAAAATGGTAGGGTGGGTATTCTGTAAGGCTGAGATCAAGTGGGCTGTTAGTGAGATGTTGCTGTACGGAAATTGTCTGCTGAATTCACCCACGACACACACAGTCACTGCACTTTACAGTATATCCTGCGAAGGGTTTGGGATATCTTCCTGACGTGAAAGCTGTTTTATAATAATAATAATCCTTGCATTTGATACAGCGCCTTACCACGTCGCTGAGACATCTCAAAGCTCTTCATACAATATATTGTAAAGTGGATTGACTGTCATTACATGGGCGAAATGCAGCAGTCAATTGCTCACAGCAGTGTGCCACAAACAGTCATAGATTGAGTCACCACACTTTTTCTTTTTTTGGTGGGATTATTAGCCCCAGAAAGCGATCCCCCAAACGACTAACAACAGGGTTCTTACTTACTACTAAGTAAACAGAGGCGGGTGGAGTAAGGAAATTTGCCTAAGGTTTCGCCCTGCCTGGAATTGAACCCAGGTTTGACCACTGCATCATGGGACTCGGTAATAATCATAATAATTATAATTTATTATTATTTTTATTCTTATTAAGTAAACTGAAGGGCTTCATAAACTCATCCAAACTTTTCCTGTGATCTTGAATGTGCAGATCTGGGAATGAATGATTGAATGGATAGTTGGTCACGGTGCTGATATGTATGTATATCCATTTATTTCATCGCTGTTGTGTTTTATTGTTCTATTTGTGAGACACTGCTGCGCTGTGCGCAGTTGGCTGCCTCATATCGCCCACAAAATATACAATCAATCCACTTTACAGTATATCCCGTGAAGCGCATTGAGATGTCTCAGTGACACGATAAGGCGCTATATCATTGCAAGGATTAATATTATAATTATTATTTAAAACAGATTCTCGAATGCAAAGTAATGGCAGGCTGCTTCAAGCTAACCCACATCTATAAATAACTCTGAGTTAAGCTCCGCACTCTGCGATTCCGATATGTCAAACTCTGCCTGAATACAGAGCTCCGAACCCAAAGAAAATATTTCCTCGTTTTGGCTAAACAGTCCGCACGATTGTCAGCACTTGATGTGTAATTTCCCTGGTGGCGTGGCAATCAGTGAGCTCATTCCCAGCCCAGAGCTTCAGTTGTGTTTGTCTTAAAGGGGAACTAAATCACCTGTGGTACGGTCATTTCATTTCTCTTCTCTCCAGTAAAATTCTTCCCGGCTGCCCCTCTCACTTGCATCAAATGTGAGGATTAACATTCTCAGCTTTGAAAGGATGTTGCAAGCTTATTCGATCATCAAGGTTTACAGTATTCATTTAGTCTGTGTTAGCCGGGTAAGCAGAGTCATTGAGGACTGTACTTAAAAACTGCTTTAATTTCTTCTGTGAGAGCAATAGTGGAGCGGAGGTTTGTTCCAACAAGTGCAGCAGAATTGTGTTTGATAAGGATTGCGAGGTATGTGGACAGACTACTCGTGTACCTGGTGTGGAGAAGTCTATAAAAACAGAAAAGCAGATTATTTTCTGGAGGGGGAGAGACTAGATAGTGTTAGTGTTCAGAGGGATTTGTGTGTCCTTGTACACCTGTCACAAAAAGTTAGTATGCAGGTACAGCAAGCAACTAGGAAGGATAATAGCATGTTGGCGTTTATTGCAAAAGGGTTAGAATACAAGAGTAGGGAAGTCTTGCTGCAACTGTTCAGGGCCTTGGTGAGACCGCACCTAGAATATTGTGTGCAGTTTTGGTCTCCTTATTTAAGAAATTATTCGCCTTAAAGGGGGTACAGCGTAGATTCACTAGGTTGGTTCCTGGGATGAGGGGTTTGACGTATGAGGATAGGTTGAGTAAACTAGGCCTATATTCTCTAGAATATAGAAGAATTAGGGATGATCTTATGGAAACATATAAGATACTTATGGGGCTTGATAGAGTAGACAGTATGAGACTGTTTCCCCTGGTAGGAGAATCTATAACTAGGGGTCACAATCTTAAGATTAAGGGTCAGCCTTTTCGAACAGAGTTGAGGAAACAGTTCATCACTCAGAGGGTAGTGAATTTATGGAATTCTCTAGAAGGCTGTAGATGCTCACTGCTTGAACATATTCAAGATTTCTAAAGGATAGAGGGATTAAGGGATATGGTGTTAAGGCGGGCAGATGGAGTTAGATTGGAAGATCAGCCATGATCTTATTGAATGGCGGGGCAGGCTCGAGGGGCCAAATGGCCTATTCCTGTTCCTAATTCCTATGTTCCTATAAAGGGTTTCAAAAAGGAACAAGTTGCTGGAAACTAAAAGAATTCAGGCTTAATAGATGATAGTCATGATAATAATAATACTTTCATTTGTTTTCACTTCAGGAGGACAACTCAAAACTCTTCACAGGATTTTACTATAAAGTATTCCTTTACCCTCCGTCTCTTCCCCTCTCTATCTGTCTTTAAGTCCTCCCTTAAAAAATTCTCGTTGACCACCTCTATGGTCCCTTCCCTCTCTTTGCTCGACCTTCAATCCTCTCTTTGTGAAGTGCTGCAAGATATTATCCTACATTCTGCATAAATGCAGGTTGCGGTTGTTGTAGTGTAACTATTCAAAAAGAGAAGGGAGTATGACAATGTCCCTGGCTGGCAATGAGATAAAATTGGTCACTCACTTCAAGGCTGTTTGTGGGATCTTGCTGTGCGCAAATTGGCTGCTGGGTTCGCCTGCAAATACACAGTCACTACGTATCATCCTAAAATCCTGTGAAGTGCTTTGAGACTCGAAGGACAAATGCAAATGAAAGGGTGATTGTTCTGAGTGCAAGTTGAGCTATATTTTGCTGCTGACGTTAAATAACTCTTTGAATGGACTGTTATTCTTCTCTGTGTAATTGTGCCACCTGGTTTACAGTGGATCAGCTGGTGAGGCTATGGCGTACACACTAAGTCCGACTCCTGTGACACCTGGCGCCCCCGTGCAGTACTGTGTCTGCAAGGTGGAGGTGTCTGTGTCCGGCCAGAATCTACTGGACAGAGATGTCACCTCAAAATCCGACCCCTTCTGCGTGATCTTCCTGGAAGTAAACGGCAAGTGGTCAGAGGTAGGTCAGCAATGCCGTCACTGAGAAACAAGAGGCCGTGGATCATGGCTGGATCCATTCATAGTTTCGAGCCTGAGGTGGGTAGATTGTTGTTAGGTCAGGGTATCAAGGGATATGGGGCAAAGGTGAATAAATGGAGTTGAGGTACGGATCAGCCATGATCAAATAGAATGGCGGAATAGGCTTGAGGGGCTGAATGACCTACTCCTGTTCCCTAGGCACAAAGCCACACAGAGTGGAAGTCACAGGTTCACATCCAGGTCTGTACTGTCAGCTGATCTCAGCCCGTGCGATGGTTAGAGTGCTTTTACAGTTAGTCTCAGCCGCTCTTAAGCGTTAAGGAGAATGTCCCCTCTACTGATCGTTATCTTCAGAGAACCCATGTATGAAGGTGAACGTGTGTGAATTGGGCTTGGTTATAACACCCACCCCCGCCAGTTAATTAGCCCAACTACGGACCATACACAGAGCACAAAACACTGAGCTTATCCTGTGGGCTGATTCAGATAGCCTCCAGGCGTGGCTGCTGTGTACCCTCCAGTAACACCAGGTCAGGTCAGTTGCACTCCCCTCGCGCCGCTCCTGTGTCTGGGATCGGCTGCCGGCTAAACCCACCCTCTGGGGCTTGCTCTCCTCCCAACAGATTGGCCGAACGGAAACCGCCATGAATAACCTGAACCCGGTGTTTGCCAAGAAATTTGTGATCGACTATCACTTTGAAGAGGTGCAGAAGCTCAAATTTGCCTTGTTTGACCAAGACAAGTCCAGCAAACAGCTGTATGAACATGACTTCCTTGGAGAATTCTCGTGCACTTTAGGATTGGTAAGTCGGTCTTTGTACAATGTGATCTTAGTTATTTCAGTTACTGATCTTGTAGTTATTTCAGCAGATTCCCGTAGCCCAGTGATTATAGCACTCGCCTTGTGAGGCGAGAGGCCTCGGATTCGATTCCTGGGCAGGACGAAACCTTAGGAAAGTTTCCTTACTCCACACGCCTCTGTTTACCTAGCAGTAAGTAGATGGGTGGATCGCTTTCCAGGAGTAATACTCCCTCAAATAAAATTGGTCACTCAATCCACGACTGCTTATGGGACAATGCTGTGCGCAATTGACTGCCGCGTTTCGCCAACAATATATTCTGTGAAGCGCTTTGAGACGTCTCAACGACGTGGTAAAGTGCTATATCATGTGCAAAGATTATTATAGTTCTTCAGTCACTGATTTCTTAACGAACATTTGTTGCTGTTGCAGATCGTTTCAAACAAAAAATTGATGAAGCCGCTTGCTCTGACCAACGGCAAGCCAGCTGGGAAAGGAACCATATTGGTAGGACGCAATTAATGGAGCCTATTATTACTGCACTGATACTGAGACCAGGTTTACCAAGAAGGGTGATAGAGAGCAGGACATTGGCTACAGACAAGCATACAAAGGGTTGCAAGAGTATGGGGATAGTGCAGGGCAGTGGGGTTGATAGAACAGCTTGCTCTGAGACCAGTGAAGACTCAATGGGCTGAATGGCCTCCTTCTGCGTTGTAAATGTCTGTGATTCTATGAGATAGTGGATCCGAGGAACACGACAACTGTCCCCAGTGCCCTAGGCTCGTGAATGGGAAGATCAGCCAGTGTTCCTGTTTGTAACTCCAGCTGAATAGGTTAGGTGTGGATGTCAGGTTAGAACATGATTAGGTTTGGCTGTCACACGCTTCACCGGTGAATAACCCGTTAGCATTTGTTGCCTCACCTCACCCATGACGAATGCCTTCCTGACAGGTTGGTGGAGAGCATTGCCTTTTCCAGTGTTGTTTGTGGGATAAACTCCAAGTTTATCTGTCTAATATTACTCAGTTGTATTTAGTAAAGCTCTTTGAGACGTGTATTTTAAGTTACCATTGTTGGTGTTTTTAAATCCCGCAATGGAAAAAAGTGTGCCAGCCGCGTCGGGCATGGATGGCACATTGGCACGAGCTTGACAGGACAGCTCTAGTTGGTGGGCATCTCAATCAAGTAGCATCAATATGTTCAGTGGGCACTGCCGTGCTCCATATGCCCCGCTCTACCCACTACACCTTCAACGGATGGGCTTTCAGCCGTTCTGCCCCCAATCTCTGGAACTCCTTCCCCGTGTCCCTCTGACTTGCTCCCTGCTTCACCTTATGCCTATTCGATCGTGCTGTCAGTCATCTCTTCCACTACCACTACCATGCTACCACTCCCTAGCCCCAGTACCAGCCAGCAGTTTCAAGCGCTTTGAGTGGTACACCCAACATGAAGAGATGTAAATTGTATTGTAAGAATATTCCTGACATGCACATTTCCTCGCAGTTTGACTGTAACCAGATTTACAAATAATACAGGATATTAATGATCTTTCTTCTGTCCTTACAGGTAAGCGCACAAGAGATCTCAGATAACCGAGTCATCACCCTGAGTGTGGCTGCAAGAAAGCTGGACAAAAAGGTGAGCTGTGATCATTTGTGGGTCAGTGTTTTGGGGTCAACCAGGAACTGGGTTGAACCTTGGCTCAGTTCAACAGTCACCATCGCCAGCACCTTCCCATTCAATTTCAAGCTTTGTTTTGGTCAGCCAGTTGTCTGACACACCCGGAAACCATTCCCACTGCTCAAGAGTATCTCCAAACCAGATTGTTTCGACATACAAATGTCATCTACACATAGAATTTTTTCCATGTCTGGAATGGAAAGTGCATTTTTTCCCTGGAGGGACGCACTCTGCTTACCTAATTTCCAGAAAAAGTATTAAGCGCAGGTTAGTGAGAGCCAAGGCTTTGGGGCCCCAGAGTGTGAGTTGGGGTAACTGCTGGAGTTTAGCTACCTACAACTGTATAGCTTGCCATTGAGAGCACTGTTTAGCAAGTGTCCCATTGCTCAATCCAAAAGGACCACCTTACCAGTTTGGACATTTGCTTGCAGGGTTAACAGGAGTTGAGTGAACCAGGCTGGCAGGTCTGTTGTCTGCAGCCCCCTCGAGTACTGTGGACCCACCTGGCTCAGGAATGAAACTACCAAGGGTTTATTTCATTTTGCCATTCATTTGAGAGGCACGTCACCTTGGAGCTAGTTGAGCCTCAAGGAAATCCACTTACCTTCCGCCCCCATCTCAATTTTAACATGATTCCTTTGATGTAGTTACAACTAAACCCAACAACGCTGGTCCAAGAGGTGACAGACCTAACCCACTGTGCCACATTATATCCCCTTTCTCACTATTAGCCTGCTTCCATTTCTGCACGATAAACAGTGTAACTTTGCCTCCTTGATTAGCGGCACTCAGAAGTCCGAAAATAGACATTGAGATGGTGGGAAGTCAGTAACTGTGGTTATTACTGTTATTGATTGGCGAATGTTCCCTTTGTGCAGGCCCTGCAGGTCTCCAAATGGAAAGCAGTTGCACACAGAGCAGATAATTACACCACACCGCTGATCCTAAGAGCGGGTGGCGCTTGTAATGCCTGTTATTTATGTGTTTAAAATATCTCTGTGAAGTCAGAATGTGTGTTGGCTGTCCAGTGCTTCCCTACAGCTGACTAAACAGATGCAGGTGTTCTTCTGAGACGAGGTTTGAGGCTAGAGCGGAGGAATTGTACTCAGCATCTGGCTGTGTTGTTGCACTAAGGGGCCACAGCTTCAGTCCGTCTCTCTGAGAACACATGGAACTATAGAAATTTACAACAATAACAACAACAAATTGTATTATGTAGGCCTTTCACGTCAGGAGGATCTCCCAAGGCGCTGGACAGTGAAGGGTTTCCAACCGAACTGGGGGCTAGAGTCAAGAGGGGTTGAGAGCAATGGAATGGAAGGAAGGTGGAAGGTGGGAAGATGACTGAAGGTGTGGTTGAAGAGGAAGGACTTGTGACGGGCTTTGAAGGAGGCAAGGGAGGGAGCGGGGTGGATGGAGTTCCAGAGAATGAGGCTAGAAAGGCCAAAAGTCTGACCTCCGGTGGTGGAGTGGGCAGGGTGGGGGGTGTGGAGCAGGTCAGGAGGGATAAAATTGTTCATTCCCTACATGGCTGTTTGTGGGACATTACTGTATGCAAATTGGCTGACCGGTCTGCCCATAAAATGCACAGTCAATCCACTTCACAGTATATCCTTTGGGACGTCCTCCCTACATGAAAAGCGCCAGATCAAATGTAAGGAATATTATTACTGTATTATTTCATTAGCTGTAAGATGACCTTTTTCATCCACAAATTAATATTTGTGTTGCAGGATTTCTTCGGTAAATCAGACCCGTATTTAGAATTCTATAAGCAAGAAGAGGATGGGAAATGGATGCTGGTGCACAGAACCGAGGTATGTCCAATTGTCCAAAAGTCACGTACGAGTAATATAAAAACCTCTTTCTGTGAAATTTACGACTGACAATAAAAATAACTTGCATTTATGCAATATACATATTGCACGTAAAAGAAACTTCTTCAATTCTCCGAATGTAATTGATTAGAAATTGAAGGAATGTTATTATAATATTAATAATCCTTACACTTAGTGCAGCAAACCCCTTTCACGTCGGGAGAAGGTCTCAAAGCACTTCGCTGGGTTTACAGTAAAGTGTAGTGACTTTTTTTTGCAAGCGAATGTGGCAGGTAGTTTGCGCAACGTTTTTACTTAGAATAGACATTGATTGTCAGATCATCTGACAGCATCTACATGCTGCCTTGCACCCAGAGTAGTGTTTGTGCTGGATGGCTATTAATTGCTTTGGCACATTAGCTGAGTCGTGAAGAGGGGGGCGGAGATGGAAAGGAAAAATTAGTGGGAGATAATAATATAGTCAAAAATAATAATAATCCGTTCATTTGGTATTGTGCCTTTCAGGTCATGCAGAAACCTCTCATCATGCTTAAGAGTTATCCAAATCAAAAAGGGGGGTGGGAGAGGGAAATAACATCCGTTGTCTTTGCTAATTTGTTTGTAACAAAAATAATCCTTGCATTTGATATAGCGCCTTATCACGTCTTCGAGATGTCTCAAAGCGCTTCACAGAATAATACTGTGAAGGGAATTGACTGTAAATTTTGTGGCCGAATCCTTTGTCACGAAATCTGCAGCCTGTCTGCCTGTATCTAAAACTAAAAACCCTGGTGAGTGTGATAAGTGGAGTACAATTCTTTAGGATGAACCACGACAGTAGAGCAAGAGGGAAGGTTGGCGCTGTTCAGTATCTTCATGATGTTTACCCTAATCAGCCTGAATGTACAGTAATCACCAACTGGCTGCTCTGACGATTGATGAAACTGACCTGACATTGTCGTGCATAGACACAGCGTAGCTTGTTGCGGAATTAACACTGAAACACCTCCATTGTCTGCTTTCACAACAGCTCCTCTACAATGTCACTAAACTGTGTACCACCAGGGCTGCAGGAGTTTCCTGTGTGTTCATTTTCAAAGGAAGTGTTGCTGCGAAGTTAGTCAACCCTTCTGATGTTCAGCTGCAAACCTCATGTCACACTCCTATATTCTGCTGTGTTTAATAATAATAATCCTTTCAGTTGAAATAGCGCGTTATCTAGTCCATCTGATGTTTACACCCCACATGAGCTCCCACCCATCCTTCTCTCTCACCCCTCTATTCCGTTCTCTCCTCGTGCATTCATTAAGATTCTTCTGAAACGGATTAAGTCTTGCTGCATCAACCATAGCTTCCAGCAGTGAGTTCCTCATTCTCACCATTCTCCTCCTGAAGAGGTCCGGCATGGATGGCGCTATATAAATCCAAGTTGTTGTGGTTGTGGTTGTTGTTCCGCCTTTTAGATCTGCTTCTGGTGATTTTTATATTTACACTCCCTTGTTATGGACTTGCCAATAAGTGGGAATGGTCTATTTATATCCACCTTATTGATTCGTTTCAGAACTTCTCCATCAAGCCTCCCTATCAAGCATCTAAAAAAAACACATTTGGCCACTCAATCGCACTGTGCGCATTTGACTGCCTGCAAAATATACATTTAATTCTCTTTACAGTATATTCGAGAAAAGTGCTACACAAAACTTTTATTGAAGCGTATTCTGTGAAGCGTTTAAGATCGACGTGGTAAGACGCTATATCAAATGCAAGGATTATTATTATTATTATTATTTAATCGCCAGAGAGAATAAAATAAAGTGGTTGCAAAAATTAACTCTCCTGCAACGAGGGAGGGATGTTAGTGAGTGGGGGGGTAAGAGGAGAAAGTGGGGAGGGGAGGGGCGAAATTCTATCTGGGTCTAGGCAAATGTTTTTTCTTGGGGGTTTTGGAACAAATATATTTTGGACCATTCTTAAATTCAGCCTTAATTTTGAAGCTGGCTTTCTGGAGGTTATTTTCAAACTTCAACACTCCAAGGCATTACCTTGCATGAAGGGCACTGTAAAAATGCAACAACGATGAAAAAAAATAGCATTCATATAGCGCCTTTCATGTCAAGAGGACTAAACCTATGCAAGTTATTGTTGTTCTAAAGCTCTTTTGTAGACTTTTTGACGTGGTAAGTTGCTGCATCAAAGACAAAGAGAGATATTATTGTTCTTTCACACATTTAATCACACAGATGTCCATCATGTGCTAGCTTGCATCTGAGGTCTTAGGTGTCAGTTGCTCAGTTGTTGGGACGCTTGCTTCTGAATTAAAATCTCGTGGGTTCAAGCCCCATGTCGGGTCTTTGAACGCACAATCTTGTCCGACGCTCCAACAGAGCGCTGGGGTTGTGCTGCATTGTTGGAGGTGCTGTCTTTCCTGGTGGGATATTAAATCTGCCTCGCATCAGTAAAGATCCCAGGGCGCTGTTTGAAAAGAGAAGCGAGTCTCTCTCTCCCAGTGTCCTGGCCAACAATCCCCCAAATAAAATTGGTCACTCACTCCACGTCTGTTTGTGGGACATTGCTGGGTGCAAATTCGCTGCTGCCTTCGCCTACAAATATCACTCATCACGGTTTCTAGTAAAACCCGTGAAGCGCTTTGAGACGTCTTAATGACATGATGCAGCGTTACATCAAATGCGAGGATTATTATCATTTGCAACGATTATGAACTTTTTGTGCAGAATTAACCTCAGGATCTGTGCGGAGATTGTGGCAGCCCGCCTGCTCCCAAGTTGTGGTTTCCTGACGTGAAACCCGCTGTGAGGAATCGACGGCCCCGATCAAATTAATATTTACTCAGTCACGACCCATTGAGCAGAGCAAAAGAGCCGTGAATAGAGAGACTCATTAAAGAGGCTGCTCACTCATTAAAAAAACGCTGTCGTAGTCATCGCATTCCATCTGCACAAATGACTATGTGTTTGCGATGCTCAGTATTGGAGAACTGTTTATGTGAATGGATTTGGGGAAAAATAACCAGAGCTTCGAAATTCCACTGTTTGTCTTAAAATTCGAATTGGCGCAGAATTGCGAAAACAGACCTTGCATTTTGTTTTCAGGAGAAACAACTTTGATTAAGACGGCGTTTTAGAATTTTCCACAATCGTTTCGGGCATCATAGGGTAGAAATTCCAGCGCACAGATGCTATAGCACTTTTCATGTCGGGAGGATGTCTCAAAAGTGTTTCACAGAGCTTTATAGTCAGCGCCCTGGGATGTCCTTGTGACATGAAAGGTGCTATACAAATATGATTTGTTGTTGTTGTTGTGGTTGTTGTATATGTAAAGTATAATAACTGTCTGTGTGTTTTTGTGGGTGAAACATAGTTTACTAATTTGCGCACAGAAATGTCCCACAAACAGCCATGAAGTGAATGACTAGTTTAATCAGAGGGATTGTTGGCCAGGACACTGTAGAGAACTCCCTTCTCGTTTCGATTCTTTAACACCCACCTGAACTGGCGATGGTTTAATATCTCATCTGAGGGACAGCACCTCTAACAATGTAGGGCACCCCCAGCATTGTACTGGATTGTCAGCCTAGATAGTTGGGTTCAAAGTCCCGCCTTGGGGCTTGAACCCACAACCTTCTACCAACTGATCCAGGCTGAAACCTTACTGATCAGCACTGAACTATCTGGGAGTGAGAGCATGGGAAAGGGGAGTAGAAACCCTTTGAATATCTCTGTTTGTAGGATCTATAATAATAATCTGTGTGTGTGATATAGCACCTTATCACGTCTTTGAGATGTCTGAAAGTGCTTCATGGAATATACTGTAAAGTGAATTAGCTGTATATTTTGTGGGTGAAACGCGGCAGCCAATTGCACACAGCAGTATGGATTGAAGTGACCAATTTATTATGTTTTTTTAAAAAAATTGAAGGAATTATTAGCCCTGGAAAAGCGATCCGCCAATCGACTAACAACTGGGTTCCTAGTTATTGCTGGGTAAACAGAGTCGTGTGGAGTAACGAAACTTGCCCAACATTTCGCCCTGCCCGGGAATTGAACCTACATCTCTCGCTTGCGGGCCGAGTGCTCTAACATCTCAGCTACAAGATCAATCTATGTAGGTCAATCTCAATTGCACTGTCATTGGACGTGACCACCGTCCCTTCACAATGCATGCGTTGTGGTTAATCTACAGAGAACACATGCAGAACGCACACAGAAATCCTATTATCTTGAGAGAAGCCAAGAGGTTTGCAGGCCTGCCAAATAATAAATGTTGAGGAGGAAGTAATGAGTAGTTATCTATTTTAACGTGACACATCGAAGAGGGACTTGGTTGGAATTTGAGTCTCTTCAAAAATACACATTGCAAAATGTCTTATGAAATAACAACTTGCACAGTGAAGGCTTATGAATCACCGTCATTGTCTCTTTGCTCCGCTGTAAAGGTCAAGTGACTCTCTACCAGGTTTTACTGCAGGCATGTTTTCACACACATTGGTTCACATTTGCTGCTTCAAGAAAGTCTGCAACGTTCATACTCTGTGGAGAGAAAGGCAATAAATAGCAGGGCTGCTTTTCTGGAGTTGCTGCAAAGCACGTAGTTTCATCTCTCTAAGCTGTGGTCTCCGTCAACTATTGCAGTATTAATAGTAATCCTTGCATTTAATGGCACCTATATCCACCCATTGATTGACAACTGGCTCAGTTGGTAGCGCTCACATCTCTGAGTCAAAAGGTTGTTCAAGCCTCCAAGTGAGGACTTTGAACTCGCAAGTCCAGGCTGACACTGCAATACAGCGCTGGGGTGGTGGGGGGCTGCTCCATTGCTGCAAGTGTCATGCTTTGGATGAGATGTTAAATCAAGGGCCAGTCTGCCTGTTTAGATGGACATTAAAGATCCCATGACACTATTCGAAAGAGAAGGGACTATCTCCTCAGATTAAATTAGTGGTTCACTTCACGACTGTTTGTGGGATGTCGCTGTGTGCAATTTTTCTGCCGTGTTTGCCTAAAAAAAATCACAGCCACTACACTTCACAGTATATCATGTGCACGGATTATTAATTTTAATATTAATAATAATTGGAGTGGATTTTTGGCAGTTGTGTGTGGTAGGCTGAAACCAGCCAGGAACCTCTCAAATTCACTCGCTTTTCTCAGTCATATTAGGAGCTGCCACATGGTGTCACAGATGGGGAGCTGTGGGCAACACCAGAGAAGGCTGGGTGGTTGCCCAGCGCCTGTGGAGCAACGCTTGACCTAACCTAACCCAACCCAATAGCTGACTGATGAAACCATAGCAACAGGCAGGAGTCTTCATTAAATGTGAAATGCTCCAAAAAGTCACTCAGCCAAATAACATGCCTCTCGGCCACTTTCATCTCTGCCAGACAAGCTGGCACACCTCTTCATGTCTCAATGTTATTCTACAAGGCGTAATAAGATGTGGGATACTGAGAATGGGTTGTTATAGATCAATTTCAAGATCCTCCCACTTGTCTTCAATTCACTTCATGCCCTGGCACGTTCCTACCTCTCCAGCCTGCTTACTCCACTACCCGCTGCCTCCACTCGACTGGCTCCGACCACCTGCTTGTCCCTCGTGCCCTCCATTCCACCATCGGTTGCACGCCTTCAGCCACTACACATGAAAGTCTGGAACACTCTTCCTCTATCCGTCTGCCTTGCCCTCACCTTCCCCGTCTTCAGGTTGTGCCTGAGGACCTTCCTCTTCGATCGTGTATACAGTCACCTCCCCCTACAGGCTCAGTCACTGTCAAGTGCTCTGGGACGCTACTCTACGTGAGGGACGCTGTGTAAAATGCAAGTTGTTGTTGCTGTTGTTGTTGTTTATCCTTGCATTTGATACAGAGTCTACATATGCCTCACGGGGAATCGCTGACCTGTGTATTTTTAGGAAAACGCAGCAGCCAATTTGCACACAGCAATATCCTTCAACTTAAAGTGGACACAAGGATACTGGGAGAATCTTTTGAATACAAGGCACAGAATCTTTAATGCTCACCTGAGCATGCAGACGTCAACCTTACTATCTCATTGAAACAACACTGCCTCCGACAATGCAGCGCTTCCCTAACCTGGCCCTCAGTCTCAATGTGCGACATGACCCAGAGGGGAGAGTGATAACGACTCAGGCGAGCTGATTCTATGTTACCCAGTCATTACACTTTACAGTAAAATCCTGTGAAATGCTTTGAGATGACCTCCTAACATGAAAGGTACTATATCAAATGCAATTATCATTATTATTTTTATTAGCATTTCCCATTAAAGAGACCTAAGGACAAGTTGAAGAGGTAGTATATAATAATCATTCCCCTTTTCCTTTATATTTATTTTAAGCATGATTTGTTTGTCCTTTACAAGAACTTAAATACATTTTGCTATTGGATGTGTCATCGTTGGAAGGTCTACTTTACCTAACAATGTGGACCGCAGCACACAATAATAATCTTTGCATTTGATACAGCGCCTCATCACCTCTTCAAAATGTCTCAAAGGGCTTCGCAGAATATACTGTAAAGTGTATACTTTGGGCGAAACCCGGCAGGCAATTGTACACAGCAGTATCCCACAAACAGTTGTGGTTTGAGTGATCAATTTTTTTTTACACAAGGTAAACAGGAGCTCAGGAAACTACTTTAAGTATTCCAGATAACTTGACTACGGTTTGGCTGATGACTTCTGTTTGCCTTGCAGGTTATAAAGAATACCCTTGATCCCGTGTGGAAAACTTTCAGCCTACCATTAGTGTCTCTGTGTAATGGCGACATTGACAAAACTGTTAAGGTGAGTCGGGTCTCTGATGATTGCTCTAGTCTTTAGTAGTTACTCATGACATGAATGAAAGTTTGGATTATACAGCACTTACACGCAGTTAATCTGAAGATCACAGCATTCCGGGGTATTAAAATCCAATTACTGTATTTTTGGAAAGGTTAAGTACACTCCCATTCTGATATTTTCCACCAAGAACTGTTGAATGAATTGCGAACAAAGGGCCCCGCTAGCTTTTGATGCCTCATCAGTGACTGGAAGGTGTGTTTACTCAAAACTGGTCCCATCTGCTCATCACTCCTAATGACTCATGCAGCAAAGGTGCTTAAACAAAAGCGATTGTGAAGTTCTCTGTGGTTACTGATTGTGCAACAGCACATTTCCAGCACTCAGCACCGACAACTTGGTGCTTCCCCGGCACTGTACTGGAGCATCAGCCTAGACAGTTCAAAGTACTGACGTGGCGCTTGAACCCACAACCTTCTTACACGAAGGCGAGAGTGCCACCACCAGCTGAGCCAGGCTGACGCAGATATTGAGAGCTTCAGCCCCCTGGACATTGCTGGATGTGGCAGTTGCTGTCTCCTCTCCCGCAGGGGAAGCTTTGCCACCCTCCTCGACATGGGTGTTAATATGGTGACCGGGTGTGAAACGTATGACCACCAAAATGTGGTTGGGGCGGAATCCATAAGCTGTCTTGAAAGGGAATTAGACAGATATTCTCAAGAAGAGAAGTACAGCGTTAAAAGGAAGTGGAGGGAAAGGCATGAGGACGGGAGTAGCTTTTTCAGAAACCCAGCGCAGGTACACTGGGCCAAATGATCGCCTTGGGGACTGTACATTCTGGATTCTTATGATTTACAATACACTTACACATTAGGCTGACCACCCAAGAAGTTTAACAATGATGGCCTGAGCTGTGGGGTGGGGGGGCAAGGAAACCCTTGAGGGTGGGGAGGGGAAAGATGTCCAAAAGCATGGTCAACGAGTCTTGGAGGGAATTTGAATGAGGGGAGGGAGGGAGGGACTTGGAGGGACTTCAGGATAGAGTGCAGGCAGAAAGGCTAAAAGTCCGGCTGCTCATGCATTTCTTTCTGCTTCGCCAGATTTTATGTTACGATTACGATAATGATGGCGGACATGACTTCATTGGTGAATCGCAGACCAGCGTCACTAAGATGAGTGAAGCGAGCAATTCCATAGAGGTAGGAACTGAGACACTGCGTTTATGGGGTTGTTATTCTCCCACGAGACACACAGTCGCTCCACTTTACAGCACACTGTGTGAAGAGCTCTGAGACATCCTTCCGACATGAAAGGCACGAGAGGGTCCGGGTTCAATTCCCAGACAGGATGAAACCTTAGGCAAGCTTCCTTACTTCACACGCCTGTTTACCTAGCAGTAAATTGGAATCCAGTTATTAGTTGATTGGTGGATCACTTTCATGGGGGTAATAATCCCTCAAAAAAAGAATTGATCACTCAATCCACGACTGTTTGTGAGACACTGCTGTGCGTAATTGGTTGCTGCATTTTGCTCACAAAATGCACAGTGAATCCACTTTACAATGAATCTTGTGATGCATTTTGAGACTCTCAATGATGTAATAAGACACTATGTCAAATGCAAGGATTATTATTTTGATCCACTGGAGAGCTCAGAGCACAATATTCTAATGAATACTACACTCCAAACCTCTGTTGCTCCCTACATCAGTCCATCCGCTTGTCTTCAGATCGCACCTGAAGACTTTCCTCTTCTACCAGGCCTACGGTCAGCTCTCCTTTCTCCCCAGCTCGAAGTCAAACTGCGCCAATGTTTATTGCTCCGAGGTGTATGGTCGTAGCCTCTTTCATTCACATGCTCTGCCTTATCAGTAATGCAATACAACTGGAAATGAAGAATCAAAATAGCGCTTCACACGGCAAGGAATTTATTCCGTGACCTTATTTCCAAATGAAACCACATAAGCAGATCTAGTTGCCATGGTAAAGCTCCGGCTCTCTCTAACAAAAGCCTGTTCATTCATTCATTCATTCACTCATTCGTTCATTCATTCATTTATTTACCTTTAGAACTGGGGTTCCTGGATGTTTATTTCTGTTACCAAAAACGTCTGCCAAGATATGCATAAGAGGCACAAAGCTTCGCAAGCGCACGTTAAAAATAAGCACGCTGCTGCCTGGAGATCACAATCTGTGTGCCAGTTCAGTTCATCGCAAGGCAACAGGTTTCCTTAAGTGTAGTATTCAGTGCTCCCCACTATGCCATGTGGCTGTTTTCAGCTGCCAGTGTATCACACCGTTACAGTTCCCTCCGTGCATCCAAGCAACTCATCGTACAATGTGCCTATCGCCGAGTCACTAAGCATTGACTTGTTTTCCTGTTGTTATTTCAAAGACTTTATATTTGTGGGCGTTTCACCCACAAAATACACAGTCCATTCACTTTACAGTATATTCTATGAAACACTTTGCGATGTCTCAATCGTAATAAGGCACTTTGTCAAATGCAAGCATTATTATTATCATTCTTCCCACCTCCTTCGGTAGAGGGGGGAAAGAATGAATTTTCTGTCTTTGTTTCAAACTTCTTTTTAATGAAATTTTCTCTTTCAAGTACAGTCCCAGTCACTGATAAAATGCCTCTCTAAAAATAGCCAAGAAACTGCCACTTTCTCGAAAGTGAGAGATATCCGAGATAAGGTTACTCTGTCCTCTCGGGAATCCTGCTCAAGTCTAAATATTGGCTCAGGCAAGTGGAAAGATTGATATTTCAGAGCGTTGTGTCTGTAGAAAGTGCAGGAGGACTAATTACACATGAGTGCCTTATTGTTTGTAGGTTGAATGAAGTTCTCAGTAAGCTGAGGCTTTGACATAACAACACGAGAACTTGCTGACTAGGCAAAACAAGCCCACGGCCCATCTAGTTCGACTTCCACCATTCTGGCAGTAGGATTTGACGATGGACAAGGGGGTTTGGGGTGGGGGGAGCAAGACGGAGGGACTGAGGAATTTAAAAGAGAATCAGACAAGCTCGGGCAGAGAGTCCAGGGAAAGTGCAGGGAATGGGATTCAGATGGATGGCTTCGTGGAGGAGCAAACACTTGACATGAAACAAAAATTGGCCGATTGGCCTCCGACTGTGCGGTACATTTCTATGGTTCACACTCTGGCGCGCATCAGCTGCGTAAAATGGAGTCAACGGGAATCGAGACAGCCCATCAGAGATCTGTAATAAGCAGCTATCACAAAAGAAAGCCCGTGATTTTTGTTCCGTTTTCTTCCGAGTACAATGAAAGGAAGAAGCTCCCCAGAGTGTTCCTGCTGTGTATCTGCTCGGTGCTGCATATTCATTATCACAGCCGTCTTCCCAATCAGACAGGCTGCCTTGTGTTGTGTTAGAGGGAGGGGGAGGCTCCTGCCTTGGGTACGTGTGCTGCTATTTGCAGCCCTTGCCGCCTGCCCCAGATGTGCAGTGACTCCCAGTACAGAGTGTTTGTTGAGCCAACGGTCTATAATACTGAAATGTCTTAACGTCAACATCATAAAATCTGCAGCTGAACAACGCGGGAGACTTCTCTTTCAATCCTTGCTTTGACAACAGCGGTGATGACGCAGTTTATTAGCACGAAACGCCGGTAAATTTCAAAGTACTTATTATTATTATTAAAAATAATAATCGCTTTGTATTTGACACAACGCCTATAACGCTGAGTGTATCTCAAAGCTGGGTTTTCTGTGAAGTGCAGTAATTGTGTATTTGTAGGCAAAAGCATCAGCCAAATTGCACACAGCATTATCCCACAAACGTCCATGAATTTTATTTGGGGGATTTGTTGCCCCGGGACATTGCGAGAAACACTCTTCTCTTTTTAAATCGTTTCTGTGGGATCTTTAAAGCAGGGACAGATGGGCACTCGGTTTAACGTCTCATCTGAAGGATGCACCTCCAGCAATGGAGTGCTCCCCCAGAGCTACACTGGAGTGTCAGCCTAGATCATGTGAGTTCAAAACCCAGACGCAAGAAACACTAGCAATTAAGCCAGGCTGACACCATCCCCAGTCCTCACCAATTCCCCCAGTTGTCATGACACCAAACAGTCTACCAACACCTAATGTCTTATTTCTTATATGGGTGGTGGGGAACAGCAGAATATCGTAAATGGGGGGAATGTAAAAGCTAATGATGTTTACCTCTTCCCCCCCACCTCCCCATGACAGATCGAGCTTGAATGCATAAATACCAAGAAACAAAAGAAGAAGAAAAACTACAAGAATTCTGGAATAATCGTGGTCAAATCCTGCAAGGTAAAGGCTCGTGGCTTGTGGCGATTGAAGGGCAGCCAGGTGCAAAACATGAGCAGTTTAACCCTGCTTTAGTAAGGTCGAAGCTTCTTGAAATGCACTCAGTATGCACACAATGTCGGAATATTGCCTGAAATATTGGGCTGATTATGCGTGCAGACGATAAATTATGTTAAACCATTGCAAAGCAAACCTCACGTACTGACTGCTTGTTAATTTCAGGTCACCCGAGATTATTCGTTCCTGGACTATATGCTTGGTGGCTGCCAGCTGATGTTTACTGTAAGTGGGGGCTTTGGAATATTCTTGGGGGTGGGGTAGGGTTAGTTTTTGTTTATGAAGAGGTTCAGTGAACAGAACAATCACAAAAAAACAGCTGATGTCCAGCTCTGCTCCTCATGAATAGACACTTGCATCCGTGACTGCAAATTAGTTATTTTGTGCATTCATCACTGCATTGTTGTAACTGTTGAGCAGGTATGAGCACCTGGCAGATTCAGTCAGTCAGTCGCCATTCTGCTCAAACCGTTCTTTCTGGATGGCTTGAAAAATCTTATGCGCTGCTTTGTATAACATGTAATGAGTCATAAATTTAATACAGCCCCTGATCGTGTCGTCGAGACGTCTCAAAGCGCTTCAAGACTGAGATTGATAGATTTCTTGTGGATAAAGGGATTAAGGGTTATGGATAAGGCGGGTAGGTGGAGTCAGAATAGATCAGCCATGATCTTATTAAATGGCGGGGGCGGGCTCGACGTGCCAAATGGCCTACTCCTGCTCCTAATTCTTATGTTCTTATGTTCACTGGATACACTGTAAAATGTTGCAAATGCTGTGTATTTTGTTGGCAAACGCGGCAGCCAATTTGCTCCCTNAAAAAAGCCATGAACTGAACCCACCCCAGCATTGCAATGGAGTATCAGCTTAGACTGCATGGGTCCAAAAATCCTGAGATAGGCCTTGAACCTACATCCTTCTGACTCAGAAGTGAGAGCATTGCTATACCTGATCGCTCCCTAAGGGAACCTTCTTCATAATGTCTCCTTGTTCCTCCAGGATAAAACAGCAAAAAATTCCCAATTTCTACCCTTCCTAACAGTCAGCCTAATTCAGCTAGGTACAAGCAAGGCTAGGGAAAGGGCATAGCAAGCTTCAGAGCATTCAAAACAAAATAGAAAGCAGATAAACAGTGAAAGGTTTCAGCTGGAGGGGTAAACATATCTCTGGTCTATTACGTAGGTTTTTATTCAGTCTTGCAAACAAAATAGTAACTTGTTGCATGAGTGAGTTGGCAGAGTCCTCCAGCTCTGGCTTCAACCTTTGTGTTGGATATTGGATATTAATAACGTGCGATTTTAACAAGACCTGTTCAAACCAGGGGATGAAAAGTCTGTTAATTACAGGCCGCAGTCCCTTGAAGGATGGATTTGAAACAGCGATGCTGCTCAGTGGATCTTGTTAACATCAGGGCTGAGAATTTTACCTGCGTTTGATTTAGCATCAATTACGTCTCAACATGCTTCACTGAGTTCTCGCTCGTGACTGTGGGGCGACAATGGGAGCTAGTTTACACAAGGTCCCATCTGTGCCTGTTCAGGTGGGAGTTAAAGACTATTCAAAAAGAGGAGTTTCTCTCTCCTGGCCTCAATCCCCCAAATAAAATTGGTCACTCATGACTGTTTGTGGGACTCTCTCTCTGTTTCTCACTCTCAATTCTCTCTCTCTCTCTCTCTGTCTCTCTGTCTGTCTATCTATCTCTCTCTGTCTGTCTGTCTGTCTCTCTCTCTCTGTCTTTCTGTGGAGCTAGATATAATGTTTCACTTAACGTTCTCATATGAAGCCGATCATCTTGTTCATATATGCAAATGTGGTTAATTACTAATTGGTCTTGCCCAATTAGTTCAAAACCTGGGACCTGTATGATGCTGACGTTCAGAGGATGTTGCTGGTGAACTTTGAGCCTGAGTTAAGGGTTGACACACAGCACTGTCTGTGCATGTTCAATCAGCCAAGTACCAGTCCTGGCCAAATCCTGGCTTACTCCAGAAAGTGAGCAGTCCCTATATCCCTCTCAAAGAAGAAGCATTGTGTTTAAAGCTCCTGCCCCTCAGGCAAAGTGCCAGGATAGTTACTGGAGCTCTTGGTTGGTAGCCAGCTTGCCAGCAGCAGCCCAGCGTGTGATTATAACTCCAGGGCACGAGCGATGTAAACACTCCCACACCTTCGATATTGTTGTCACCGAGAGCAATGGAGAGTGAAGCCCCCTTCCCCTCCTTCACTGCTGTTCGTGGGACGGATTTCTCCCCCTCATTGTCCAAATCCACTCCCAAACCCCCGCTCCAGGTAACCTGGTTGACAATACAATGCAATTTACATGTATACAGCGCCTTTCATGTTGAGAACATGTCCCAGAGAGCTTAAAGTCTTCCCGCCTCATTGTTTGCGTGATGTCTCTGGTGCAGGTTAGCTGCCTCGCTTTGCTTACGTAACACTGACTTCACTGTTTTGTGAAGCGTCTCGAGACATCTGTTTCTGTAAAAATAATCAGATAATTATAATTATAACCTTTGCATTTGATACAGAGCATTTCATATCAGGAGGTTCCTCTGTGCTGTTCAAGTTGGTGTTTAAGAACCCGAAGCACTAATCAAAAAGTCAAGCGAGTTTCTTCCAGTGTCCTGGCCACCAGATACAAATTAGCAGTCAAATTTGTGGCTGTTTGTGGGACATTGCTGTTTGCGAATTGGCTGCCGGGTTTGCCTACAAAATACGCAGTCCCTAGTCTTTACAGTATAACCTGTGAAGCGGATTGAGACGTCCCGTAGATGTGAAGGTATATATACCAAATGCAAGGATTATTATTTATTATTATTAATATATGGGTGAGTTCTCTCCTACCAATAGTCAATCTCTGTATCTCCAGTTTATCTGTTGCTTCAGGTTAAGATTGTTGCTCTGCTGCACGAGGCAGATCAGTTCCCTTACGTAGACCTTGTCTGTAGCCATGAAGGAAAGAAAGAGAAATGGAATGATTTCATTAGATCAATTTGATTCGAATTTGTGCCGTGATCCATGTAAAAAATCATTAATTCGCTTGTAGACATCAGTTGCACAGTGTGTTTTGTAGTCCTTTGGCTGCACCATTTATTAAGTCTTCCTTCAGACTGCTCAATGTAATACGTTCCACATTGACAGCAGTCCTGCTACTTGCCCTATGTTTTATGGGCCATTGATATTGATTCCATAGACTCTTTGGTAATGGGAGTGTGTTAGTAATAATAATAATAATATTACCATGCTCATAAAATAATTATAGTATTATAATTGTAACAACAATAATACTCATTTTAGAGATGTTCAAAATTCAAAAATTGCGCATTTCTTATTAAGAAATCTATTAAGAAACACTGCAAAATTGCCCCTAGTGGATAGGCAGACATTCAGCATGAGCTACCATCTAGGTGGTTTGATCTAATTTGGGTGTTATTGCATTTCCTGGAAGACTGCCTTTGGAAAGACTAAATAGCAATAAAGTGCATTTCTACTGCAATCTTTTCAATAAACTATTTATAAATTATTCATACACAATATAATGCGTTGCCGTCAGTAGCAGCTCATAATGTCTCGCAGTTGTTCTCCAATAAAACGGCATATATTATTATTATTATTATATAGTCATACAACCATATAAGCCATATAGATAGGTACTAGGGGAGTGATAGTGGACTGAACTTGATTGAATTGAACTGGACTGCAAGACTGGCATCCACGTCTGCAGCTGTGAGCTGGAACTGGAAGCTCTTAAGCACGGAGAATGAATCAGACCCCTGACTGACAAACACCCCACCCACCCCCCGTACAATCCTTTAACCTTATGGGAACATAGGAACAGGCGTAGGCCATTCAGACCCTCGGGCCTGTTTCACCATTCTATAAGATTGTGGCTGAGGAGCTTAGACCAAATGTGGTTTACCATTGAATCCAAATTTTATCTGGGGGATTGTTGGCCAGGACACTGGTAGAAATTCCCTTTTCTTTTTATATCACTGCATAGGAATGTCAGCCTAGACTGTGAATTTGAAGACTTACATGGGGCTTGAACCCACAACTTTCTGACTTAGAGGTGAGAGTGCTACCAACTTGGCCAGGGAAGGAGTAACAGACTCACAATTGTGGTTTTGGTGGGCATTAGTTGGTGAAGGCCAAAGGAGGAGTTCAAGTTATTGTGATGTTTTTCTCCTGGATTCAGTACATTTTGACAGAGTTTAATCCAAGCGGAATCCGAAGCCCAGACCCGAGCTCCTTCACTCATCCCTGTACGTTAACGCATCACTGGGCAGTGAGAAGATTCGCTCCGTAGAACAGAGCGAGACTCTATGCATCAGCTGAGCGTGAAGCCCATTATCGGCAATAGGTATAAGGGATAACTGATGCATATTTACTTTATTGCATCAGCCTGGAGCACTCTCGCCTCTGAGTGAGAAGGTTGTGGGTTCAAGCCCTATGTTTCGTCTTGGTATCACACATAGTCTACAGCTGACACTCCAATGCAGTCCTGAAGGTGTATTGCATTGTCGGAGGTACCATCCTTTGGATGAGACTTTAAACCGAGGTCCCGTCTGCCTGTTCGGGTGGACATTAAAGATCCTATTTAAGCACTAAAAGAGCACTATTCGAAAAGAGAAGGGAGTTTCTCTCTCCCGGTGTCCCCGGCCGACAGTCTCCCAAATAAAATTGGCCTGTTTGTGGGCCTTTGCTGTGCCCAAACCATCTGCCGCGTTTCGTCCACAAAAATACAGTCAATCCACTTTACATTGTATCCTGTGAAGGACTTTGAGATGTCTCGACGACGTGATAAGTTGTTATACCAAATGCAAGGGTCGTTATTATGATTATTATTATTATTACTGTAGTAATGTTCTGCGGTATTTCTTGTGGTCTAAAGCTATTTATACTATTTATACTGATGCCTAAAATCACCTCCTTACACACAAGGCGTCATTGTGCTCTCAGACAGAGGTGCCTTTGTAGCCTGTTCTCCTGTAGCTTCTCTGACTCGGGAGCAGATCGAGGGTCCGTCCTTCCGTCTGTGGCTTGCGTTGCCGCGGCAACCAGTGCTCGCCGTACATCATATTAACACAGCAACCCTCGCTCCAGCAATCGTTCCTTTCCTCGTCCTCCCAAAGATTTATTTCTAATAAAATTGCAAAGCGAAAGCAATAAAAAAAAACGCATTCCAACGACAACGACACTCAAAGATTAACATATGCAGACGTTCTGGTTGAGGTGTTCTATTCTGTGAGAGTTTTTATATACAGTATATGTGAAATCTCCATATTGGCTTTGTTCCATTTGCCTGCGTGGTTTGCGTTCAAGCTGGGAGATCGAGAGCCACTTGGTGCACCCTTTCGTCGACAGGCTCCAATGAACAAGGTCTGTCCAGGCGAGGAGGGCTGTGTGCAGATGGAAAACACGTTGAGCCCTGACCTCACTAATTCACAGACAGAGCTTTGAATTGCTTGCATCAAAGTACTGTATTTCCTGAGTTCGATTCCCGGGCGGGGCAAACCTGAGGCAATTTTCCTTACTCCACACACCTCGAGTAGTAAGTACGAACCTAGTGGCTAGTCGATTGACAGATCGCTTTCTGGGGGTAATAACCTCTCCAAAAAAAAATAATAATTTGGTCACTCAATCCATGACTGTTTGTGGGACACTGCTGTGTGCAATTGGCTGCCAACTTTTGCCCACAAAATACACAGTCAATTCACTTTACAATATATTCTGTGCAGTGCTTTGAGACGTCTCAACAACACAATAAAGAGCTTTATGAAATGCAAGAATTTCAATATTATAGATACAAAGAGAACTTGCCAAGTCTGGGAAGCTGAAATCAACCCAGAAACGATTCAGAACACAACAGAAAGTGGACCTTTAATAATAATAACAGTCCTTGCATTGGACACAGGGTCTGCGATGTCAAAAAGTATTAAAGGGCTGTAGCGCCTGGTTGAATGCAACTCTATGTATTTAGGTGTCAGCTTGGCTCAGTTGGTAGCACTCTCTTCTCTGAGTCAGATGATTGTGGATTCAAGCTCTATGTTGGGAGTTTGAGCTCCTAGTCTAGGCTGATGATGAAGGGCTGTACTTGCGGAGCACTGCATTGTCAGAGGAGTTACTCTGTCCTTGCATGAGATATTAAGCCAATTTAAAAAAAATTGGTATTTACTTCATGGCTGTTCGTGGGTCATTGCTGGTCGCAAATTGGCTGCTGCATTTGCCTCCAAAATACGCAGTCACAACACTGAATAGCTTTGCAAAGCGTTCTGAGACGTTTTGACGATGTGATAAGACGATCGAAGAGGAAGGTCTTAAGGCGTGATTCGAAAATAGGGAAGGAGGGAGCAAGGCGGAGGGATTGAGGGAGAGAGATATAGTCATGTTAGCGCCTGCACTCTGCTGGCTTTGAGCTAAGAGGGAAATAACAAGGCAAACAAGACAGGATTTAAATCTCTTGCATGAAGTCATTCTTCAACCAAAGGGCAAGCACTCATTTCACACAGGACTGAATTCATGTGAATAAGGCATTTTGAAAATAGTTTAATCTTATTCTAAGTGAAAACAAGTTTCATGAGGCGAGAAAATCAATATCACAATTTAACTTAATGGACAACAAGGAGGTCAGGACAGAATTCCTTCAGTACCCATTTCAGATCCGTGCAAAGCATTAACCAAACTGGGATCAGCCATTTAAACACCTAGTCAGGTTCCGCAACTGTTAAGCTCTGAGATACTGCCCTGCGTGGAGGCCGCTATGTAAGTGAAAGTTGTTGTTGTTGTTAATGCATGGGATTGACAGGGGGACTGGGTTTATAACAACAACAACAACAACAAATTATATTTATATAGCACCTTTCACATTGGAAGGACGTGTCAATACTCTGAACAGTTAAGGGTTTGCCCTCGAGCTGGGAGTTGGAATCAAGAAGGTTGGAAGGCAAAGGGAGTTGGGCTGGGAGTGTGGCTCAAGGCACAGTCAAAGAGGAAGGTCTTGAGAGGGGCATTGAAGGAGGCGAGGGAGGGGGCGAGGAGGAGGGGTTCGCAGATGGAGTTCTAGAGGGTGGGGGCAGAAAACCTGAAGCCCCGTCCGCCAATGGTGGGGCGGGTGGGCAGGACGGGGGACATGGAGCAGATCAGTGCCTGCAGCGGAAAGGTCGGTATGGTATATCCTGTGCAGTGAATGCACTGTCCTTTCATCCTCAGTCTTAGGTTTGAATCCAGTTCCACATTAACAGAATCAAAGCTCCTTCACACTCTCTCTCTTGTCCTGCTGGCTATTAGAATAGGTTAACCCAGTTCCTGCTGACATAGACGACAGAACAACACCCTGTAAACTGCAGTGACTGTGGATTTGCAGACGAACACTGCAGCTAATTTGCACACAGCAATGTTCACTAACAACAGTCAAGGGAATGAGTACATTTTACCTGGGGGTTTGTTAGCCAGGACACTGCGAAAAACTCCCTGCTCTTCTCAAATAGTGCCATGGATTCTTTAATGTTCACCTGAATAAGTAGACAGGCCCTTGGTTTAATGTCTCATTCAGAAGACGTCTCCTCCAATAATGCAACACATCTCCAGCACTGCACAGGAATGTCAGACTAGACTATGAATTCCGAGTCCCGAGGTGGGGCTTGAACCCACAACTTTCTGACTCAGAGGCGAGAGTCCTGCCACCTGAGCTAGGCTGACCCGTATCTTTCCAGTGGAAGTTTTATCTTGTTTTAGGTATCGAGTGTTTGATGATTTCTGGTATGTATTGATTGTGAAATTGACTTGTATGTAGCAGTGGAGCCTACCACTGAGAGTTCCGATCACCAAGACAGAGGCGTAAAGTGACAATTTAATAGCAGTTTGGACGGTCAATTGGATCGGATTTACTGTGTATTTTTCCTCCTATTTCTTGTGGTTTGTGGCATTGAGAGTGTAATGTAACCAGTCGGACACACATCCTTTTATTAACATGTCATCATTGGCCTTTAGTAATGAAAAGCGATTGCCTTTACTAACGTCTGTATCTGTGGAGATGATGGTCACAGTCTCTGAACACGGCGTTCTCAGTTTAAGGAATACATTGCGATCAGATGGGGAGATGTTTGGCTGCTTTTATTTTATTTCCACCTCGCTGCTAGCTGATCTGCGAGGTGATGATTCATATCGTGTCTAATTGCGTGAATGCACACGGCTGCCCAGCACCACAGGGCGAGCGCTTAAGTTCGAAGTCTTTTGTGCTGGTGTTGAAGTTAGCGACGCACTGCTACTGGTGTGTGTCCTGCACGGATGCCTGTACACTCCATTGACCCACTGAGTTCAATCCCTGCTAACAATCAATCAGCCTTGCTTTCTGAGCCTGTCGCCTACTGGTGCTTGGATAAAGATGGCAAAGGGGCAGCACTGCCAGTCACGGTGTGCTTGTCAACGTACAGACTCACTCAGTGTGGTGACTGTTACAATAACGTAATTACTTTCTTCCCTCTCCGCTCGACAAACTCGGTCCTGCTGCTCATTCCTCACCTCTAACATCTCCGGAACTTCCCCTCTGTCCTGCCCCCTTTGCTTGTCTTTAAAAGTCTCCTAAAAAACTACCTCTTTGACTGTGTCTCTGGTTACCCCCAACCCCCCACATTGCTCACTGCTCAGTGTCCAGCACTGTTTCCGCAAAGCAATTCGAGATGTTAGCCTAAGTGAAGGGTGCTATATAAATGCAAGTTGTTCTAGTCTTACCATGACCTGACCAGTCCCCCTGTTAGAGAGTTATCTTGTAACTAACACCAGGTTTCTTTAACTACCGCTACATCATTTTATAATGATGATTCTGAAACCAACAATTCCTGGTGCCAAGCCAGAATTGCCCATGTGAAAAGTGCTCTACAGTAGACCTGTAAATCGTACTGTATTGCATAACTGAGTTGGCAATTCACTTCATGCCAGTTTCTGGAACACTGCAGTGTGCAAAATGACTGGCCGAGTCACAGTCACTACACTTGCCGTATCTTTACCAGTGATGCTCTATGAGATGTTTCGATGTTACAGGCACTACATCGAATCAAGGATTATTATAATGATTGGTCCTTGCAACTGCTTATGTGACAGCCTGGCTCAGTTGGTCGTACTATTTCTTCCTAATCAAAACCTTTGTGGGTTCAAGCCCCATTTCGGGACTTTGAGACAGCGTTGCTTTCTACAGGTGCATGTCACACTGACACAAAGACCGCTTATTTCATGATTGATGGTGGGACTCGGCTATGTGCATAATAGCTGCCTCATTTGCCGATAAAAACAATCACTACACTGGAAAGTAATGAGCGTAAATGCTTTGAGGTGTCTCAGCATGCTAAAGCTATAAATGAAAGGGTTCTGGTGACTAATCCTAACAGGATTTGATACTGATTGGAACTGGCTCAATCTCACTTGAGATTCCTGCAGGTAACTGTGAGGTAGTTAACGACACGGGTAATAATTACCCTTACATTTGGTACAGCGCCTTTCACATCAGGAAGACGTCTCAGAGGACGTCTTGGGATATACTGTAAAGCGTAGTAATTGTGTGTTTTGTTGGCGATTTCGGCAGCCAATCTCCACACAAGAATGTCCCACAAGCGGCCGTGAATTGAATGGCCAATGTTATCTGGGGGAATTCTTGGCCAGTTGATTGCTCTCTTTTCGAATAGTACCGTGAAATCTTTAACGTCCACCCGAACAGCCAGATAACTCCATAGCGGAACCAGCGCAACTCAGTTCTTGTTTGACGGGCATCTTAACGGTCTTGCGTTTTGTACTCAGGTCGGGATCGACTTCACGGCATCCAACGGAAGCCCTCGGGACGCCAGCTCGCTCCATTACATCAACCCCGAGGGATCCAACGAGTACCTGTCCGCCATCTGGGCCGTGGGTCAAATCATCCAGGATTACGACACGTGAGCTCCTCATCACTGCCTCTCGCGCAGCTTAAACTGCATCGTGTTGGGGTGTTACCGTGCGTCCAGTCTGCGACATTCGCTCTGTGCAGTGTCTGTTCTCCACACATCCTGCACGCTGTACTGTGCACTCAGTATGCAATGTCTAATCTGTACATATACAACCCGTGCTCATTATACACCATGACCTCTGTATAAAGTGTGGTATTCAGAGGTCCCCCACCCTGCCCACTTCACCATCGGGGCTCAGGCCTTTAGCCTTTCTGCACCCATATTCGAGAACTCCATCCCAGGGTCCCTCGGCCTCGACCCCTTCCCTTGCTTCCTCCCAGACCTGTCTCAAGACCTTCGTCTTCAACAGAACCTACAGTCAACCTTCAACCCCCAACCCCCACTTGACCTCCAGCTCTCCAGATTCCAACCCCCAGCACGGATGCTAAGTACTCGGGATTTCCTCCTGACATGAAAGGCACTATATAAATGCAATTTGTTGCTGTTGTTATACACTGAGGGATTGTTGGCCAGGACATTGGGAGAAACTCCTTTCTCTTTTGAATAGTGCCACAGGGTCTTTAATGTCTTTAATGTCCATTTGTACAGGCAGGTGGCATATTGGTTTAACATCTCAAATACGCTCAGCTCTGCGCTGGTGGAAGCCTAGACCAGGAGTTAAAAAAACAACATGGGACTTGCACCCAGAACCTTCTGACCCTGAGACAAAACCGGGCCAGGCTGACATGGCTCATTGTTAGGCATTAAGTGCACCAATTCAGAGCGTCCAAAACTTGGCCAATTCTCAAACCCAGTCACGTTATTTTTGGAGCCGTTTTTCTGTTTCTTTTTTTAAGACTGAAAGAAAAACAGTTTCAGTGATCAGACTGAATTCAACAATTTGCCAAATTCTGAACGCTCCAAAATGAGAAGAAATTGCAGTAAATGTAGACCCAGGGGAAAATTCACCCTCAGCTGTCTTTAAAGACACAGACGTTGAGGTTGTCAAGGTGCAGACTTCAAAAAGGTGGTGGTGATGCTTTGGATCGTGTAGAGGGAGGTTGATTGTGATTTGGTGTCAGAGATATTGAAGATCCCAGTTGAAACGCTGGGCTGTGTGTCAGCGAGCTTATGTGGTTTTGACACTTGTATGTTCTCTATTAACCTTTGTGCTGAACTTCCTTTGTGCCTTGCAGCAAATGAAGCTTGTTGCAACTGGTTTCCCTCCTTCCTTCTCAGAGGCAATCACAAGTAGGAAAGAATGGACCATTTAAAGCAGTGCTTTGGTGATTGGAACTTGTCCCATTGCTTTTATTGAAAGTGCCTCACCACGGGGGCCACAGAGTAGTGGGAAGCTGCGTCCGTTGCCTTTTTGGTCAGCGGATATCAGGCTCAGAAACCCATCAGCGTGCTTTATGCTCTCCGCACCAAAGCACAGCGCAGTGAAAGAGTCTCTCCACACCATGTTGGGAGAACAGCTCAAAACGCTGTTGGCCGGGCACGCGAGCTGGGGGATGGGAGCTGAAAGGGAGAGGGGTGGGGAGGGAAAAGACTTGCCTCGCAAGCGAGAGGATCTGGATTTGATTCCCAGCAGGGCCAAACCTTAGGCAAGTTTCCTTACTCCACACGCCTCTGTTTACCTAGCAGTAAGTAGGACCTGGTTGTTAGTCGATTGGCAGATCTCTTTCTGAGGGTAGTAATTCCCTCCAAAAAGAATAAATTTAAAAAAATAATATTTTGGTCACTCAATCCATGACTGTTTGTTGGACACTGCTGTGTGCAATTGGCTGCCCTGTTTTTCCCCACAAAATTCATTTTACAGCATATTCTGTGAAGCGCTTTGAGAAATTTTAACGATTAGGGTAATTAGGGGCTGTATCAAATGCAAACACTGAGTTCCACATTACACATGGCTTCCATTTGTCCAGTATGGAGCACACACTCTCTCTCCGGAAGGACACACCATTCTTATCTAATCCCGGAGTATTTTGGTGTTGGGAACCCTGAGTGTGCATTTGGGGGTAACTGCTGGAGTATAAGAGGGAGGAAGAGTTTTTCCCCCGAGAGCTTTCACTTCAGTTGTGTCTGAAAGAATGAGGAACCTGCAAAGAGTCCCCCTGTAATAATGGCACTAAACAACCCGTCAAAACCACAGCACACTTGTGTTATCATTGAGGCGGTTGGAGCTGGTGAAGCGGAGAGTGTGATATCGAGCAATATAGACTGAGCTGGGTCCGATCAACCATCAGATATCAGCCAGGCAGAAGGGTGGCTGCTGGCCTCTGTGCTCTGGGGTTAGCAAAGTCTGTTTCTGCTTCCGATCGATTCTCTCTTCAGACTCGAGCGGACAAAGATTTCCGATAAAAGGCTTTTGTGTCAGACTGAGAGCCTGTCGTCCAACACGCCTGCCTTTCCTCCAGCATTTGGCCTCTGCTCCCTTGTGTCTGCAAAGCGAAGCTGCACACTCTGAAGGGATGAGAAATGTGTACAATGTGCACCCTCTGCACCTCTGACGCCTTTAAAATAACACGTCTCGCTTCCTCTCACATAGAGAACCCACATAAAAACCCTTTGTTATTGGGTCACCCTGTAGCTCCCTCAGGCAGGTGTAGTCAGTGAGACAGAGGCTTTTGAGGCCACTTATTATAATGGAGAAACTGAACCCAGGGTTGTAGGAATGAAGGTGCCTGAGGAACGGCTGTTGTACGGGAGGGAAACGTTCCAACCCACGAAAATTTATTGCACAACCCGGGTGTCTGGCCTTCAATTTGGAACCGAGGCCGTTTCACAAATAGAACTAGAGACGTTCACAGCATTGAAGAAAGCCATTTGGCCCATAGTTTATGTGCTGGCTCTTTTAAAGAGCAATCCTTTTAGTCCCATTTGCCTGCCTTTCCTCCCATAACCCCTGCAAATGACTCCTTTTTTTTAGATATCTATCTCGTTCCACTTTTGAAAGCTAACCAAGCTACTTCCCTTTGTTGGAGTACTCTACGGATACAGAAGGCAGGGCGTGCACAAGTACAATGAATCGCCAGAGCGTGAGACACCCGTGTGTTTAAAACTGATCGAACCCTGCCCAGAGTTTGCCAGACGAAAGCAACTGTCCTGTTGGGTGACATGTTGGTTCACCAACACGATATACAGGGTGGTCAAAAAAGTTGCCATACCATTACAATGTCTAATAAGTCTTAAGGAAATGCTGATTTTTTTTTAGATTATAGGGTAGATACCACGACTTTTTGGTCACCCCGTATCTTTGTCTCTGCAATTTCCCACACAATCGCCTCCCCAAATCTCACTGTACCGCACGGAGAGAGAGAGAGAGAGAAAGAGACACAGAGAGAGAGAGAGAGAGGCAGAGAGAGGAAGAGGGAGAGATGAAGAAAATGGAATGATTTATATAAAGCGCTTTGAGGCATCCTGCTGACAGGAAAGGCGCTGTATTAAACACAAAGATTATTACTGTAATATTATTTGCCCTCAGGCAAACCTCCAGCGCAGGCGAACTCTCACACCTCTTAGTGGACAGATGCAGAATAGCACGGTGAAGAGGACAGGAACAGTCAGACGCACGCGTAAGGTGTCATCCAAAGAAGATGCTTTGTCCCACTCGATCTTCTCCTTGCAGAAAGCCAGCCCTTCCCCCTTCTCTTTCTGCTCAAAACAACAACAACAACAACGTGCATTTATAATGTCTCGCTCCGTGCTTTGCTTTATCAGTCGACCACACCGTTTGGATTTTCGCCCAAATCACTCGTTGGAACGGCCTGAAATCGCCATCAATGGCACAGCACTCAAAGCCGCACAAGACATCACTGTCCTGGCCAGTCGTCTGTCCAACAAAAGCTGCCATGAGGCTGGCAAGTGTACCATAAAAACTGCTGGTGCCATGGGCTGCCTTAGAGGCTAGTTGGCAGCCAACACACATGTGCGGGGCGATGAGAGGGGGAGGGGAAAGGGAGAGGAGGGGAGCGGGGTGGGGGGTCAGCGATCTGTTTGAGGTTCTGTTCACCAGCCTGGACGCAGTTTAATGCTGCCAATCGTTCCCATAATTATTCAACCAACAGCTGTTTCCATGGACACTGCTGGAGTAGAGATGTCCTGGAAAATGATTAACATTTCTCTGTAATAACTGCTGAGATTTTGCAGTGACAACTCTCTTTCTGTGTGTATTTTTACACCCTCTTCTCCCCCTCCCCCCCCACCCCTATAGTGACAAGATGTTCCCTGCTCTTGGCTTCGGTGCACAGTTGCCCCCGGACTGGAAGGTAAGACACTTGTCTCTTGCTCTGGGAGGTTCCTTACAGTGATATGTGATGTAACAGTCTCGTGTTTGCCCTATACAATGTTGAACATGGGTTTGTCTGAGTCCTGGTCGATCTTAAATGGGAATCACTGGCGGACGGGATGGGACAGGACGGGATGGGACAGGACGGGATGGTGGGTGTAGCTCTCTACTCTTTGCCCTCGGAGAGGCTTGTTCAAATGCAGCTCAACCAGGGCAGTGTTAAGCCACTTCACTCACTGCTGCCTTTAAGTATCCAACCTGACTGACTTGTTACTTCCAGAGGCCACATTTGATCTCACGTACAATTATATCTTGGGAGTGCTTTATAATAACTAAATAATAATCCTTGCAACTGATATAGCACCTTATCACATCATTTAGACGACTTAAAGTGCTTCACAGAAATATTGTAAAGTGAAGTGACTGTATATTTTGTGGGCTTTACAGTGACTGGGTTGGGTGCTGAATGGGTGGGGGTGGTGCGGAGAGAGTGGAGGGAAGAGGGGGGTGACCACAGACAAGGCCCAAGTGACAGGTTTTAAGGGCAGTGGGGTTGGGACGAGGTGGAGGGGTCCGTGGTGGGAGTTCATTGAGGTTCTGGCTTGGAATGGAAAAAATCTATCGGCGAATCGAAGAACCTCAAATGTGTAAAAACCTGAATCAAAAGATTAAAGATTTCCTGCTGATGATCAAATACTTTCCCTTTACACAGTTAGTGCAGCAGATGATTAGTAGATTTATTCGTGGGCTTACACTGGCAGCTTGCTCTTAAAGGTCCCATTTAGTCGAATGAAGATTTTAAAATCAATCAAATTGTGTCTTGGGGGATTAAGTGAGCTGAGCTCCGAGCGCTATGGTTTTATCAGGTTCTACAGGAATCCTTAACCAGTCAGAAGCTTTCTTGGCACTCGGCTGTGTGTTGGTTGAGATGGTTAGAGAGAGAAGGGAACTGCGTAGTGAGGCCGTGCAGTTTGTTAAACCGATAAACTTTCCTAAAAAAAAATTCTCCGATTGGTGGTACATTTTACCAACTAAAACCAAAGTTTTCCGTCACCTCCTGCCTGCTGCTGGAAAGGTTCCTCTATCACACACACCCACTTACGTAAGAGACCGATGATCCATTGACCTGGATTTCCCAGTTTATGACTGAGACTTGGTTACAGCTCAGAATCACACAGCTTCCAACCAGACTGATTGCAATAAGTATGAAAAGAATACTTCCATATTTAAGAACGGAAAATAAAACTGCACTCTGAAACTTTCCTCTTCATTAAAACTGGTTTAACGCTGTTGAACTTAGCTGTGCGCCACTGGTTATATTGCTTTAATGAGGTAACCAGATGTGGGCACGCTCTGAATGAATTACTGCGAATGTGGGTAAGAGATCGCAGCTCTGGGTCCAACCACTGTGGACATGGAGGCAAAGCAGATGATTCAATTCACTGACAGCAGGAGGTTTCAGACAGATGGAGGCAGCTGTATTTGTCCCGCGACGACCCTGATTTGTTTGCAGCTTTGTTTTAGGGTTGGGCATGTGTTAATGATCTTCTTGATGTCTCAGAGAGTCAGTCTCACTCCCCCACCCACCTCCCTGCAATGACCACGAGGGTTTAAATTCCTGCAATAGCAATGTGAGCGGTTGCTGTAACTACAGTTGAATTCCTGGCTGTGTAGAGGCCAGGACGCTAGGATTCATTAAAGCGACCTCTTGGTGGGTTATCTTGCTGAGGTCAATGGTTGAAGATGGCGTAGGTGAGAGCAGGAGCCCAAAAGGCTAATTCACCCAATTTCAGAGCAAAGTGGCCCGTCAATAGGTGGAGAATTATTTCCGTCTTCCCGATGAGAGGTTAAACCGAGGTCCCATCTCTCTGTTCAGGTGGACGTTAAAGATCCCATTATTCGAAAAGAGAAGGGAGTTCCTCCAACAGTCCCCCCAAAATAAAATTGGTCATTGGGCCATTACTTCGTGCAACTGGCTACCGTGTTTCGCCCACAAATATACAGTCAATTCACTTTACAGTGTGTTCTGTGAAGCGCTTTGGGACGTCCTCCCGACGTGAAAAGCGCTATATCAAATGCAAGGATTATTATTATTAAGACAAAACGGTCTCGAGGGGCTAAAACCTGGTGAAATTTAGGGGCATCAGTCACAACTGCAAGTCTTATACAGCATTTGTCTGGCGTCCGTCACATAGGGTAGCATGTTGGAGCGCTGTGACAAACAGACTCACCATGGGGGAGTGAATTATTGATTCAGAATCCCAGCCAGGGCTGAGGCAGCCAGTGTCTTGTTATATACACTGCGCTCACTCCCTTTGCAATAACCCGTCTCTCCTGGTCTGAATCGCACATCTATTCTGCCAGCCACGTTGCCAAGACAACCAGCGAACATTTTACTGAATGACAAAGTTCAGTGGAAGTGAAGGAGCCCCTTCTCCTTTAACCCAACGTTATTAACCTGACCCTTAAAAAAGCCTTGCGGCTACACACGATGGCTCAGTGGGTGAGGCCACCACAATACAACAACAGTACTAATAATCCTCGCTTATAATACAGCACCTTCCACATCGGGAGGACATCACAAAGCGCTTCACATGATTTTACTGTGAAGTGTATTGTGACTGTTTATTTTTTGTGGGCGAAAGAAACATTTTTTAAGGTCAGCCGGGCATCTGACGCACGCAGAAACCCACCACAGTGCTTAAGAGTATCCAAACCAGTCTTGAGAGTTTTGTGGATCCTACACAGGAAGCCTTTAAAGCTTCGGATGAGATGTTAAATTGAGCGCCCGTCTGCCTGTTAATGATCCTGAGATGCTACTCGAAAACAACAACAACAAATTACATTTGTATAACCCTTTTCACATCGGGAGGATGTCCCAAGGCCCTGGAAGGGAGAAGGGGGTTCAATCCCCCAGATACAGATTTGTCATTCACTTGGTGGCAATTTGTGGGACATTGCAGTCTGCAAAAATTGGCTGCTGCATTTCACCCACAAAACACATAGTCCCTGAAAAATCCTGCAAAGAAGCTTTGAGATGTCTTGACGACTTGATAAGGTGATATATCAAATGCAAAGGATTATTATATTATTATAACCGCGTGCAGAAAAGCGCTTGGTTTGGGGGGGTGGGTGGGGGGGGGGGTTTGTTGGGGGAGCTGAAGGATGTAGTGAAATAATGAAGATTAAAACAACTCAAATTACAGTTCATTACCTCGCTGCTAAAAATGAAAAGAGGGAAATAAAAGATGAAGATTAATTTTCAGACAATTCCATTAAGATGCATGGATTGTATGAATGTTTTATTAATGTGGTTAGAGTGATTGCTCCACTGGGTTTAACTCTGGTATATCAGGCTGGTAATAAATTAAGAGTACAGTTTGATATCCTTGAACCTGAATAACAGAAATCCAAAAAAGCAGAAGAGAGATGAGGGTATATTAATATGGGGTGCGTATCTTGGTATGACATTACCAGACTAGTTGCTGCCACTTGTGAGCCAACTAGTCTGGTAAGCGCTCTGAGATGCCGTCCGGCGTGGAGGGCGCTATATAAATCCAAGTTGTTGTTGTTGTAGTCTGGTAATGTCATACCAAGTATACCAACCATGTTCACTGCCCCTGTGGTGCGGAGCCTGTCTTGTGCCAGTCTGTGCTGTTAACCTACCCCAAGTCTCACAAACTTTGTGCCTGTGTGTGGACGAGTTCTATCTGATTGCCTTGCTTAGCTCAGGCACCTGTGCGGGCGATATTAACACTGCAGAATTGAGTACGTTCCCACAGAGGAATCACAGTCTAATTCTGAAGCTGTTGTCGTAATGAAGGCAGAATCGGTCAGTGGTTTTCCACAGAATTTTTAGTTAACAGAGACCACAGATATTCACAGAGACGGTTGAGTTTACACCAGCTATTAGGGTGTGAGGTTACCTGAGGAGCAACTGCAGCCAGGGTTCCTAGGCTGATAACAGTGCTCTCCGTAGCAAGGCTGTGTGTTTTAGCTGGTTAGACTTCAGCAGTTACCACCCCCCCCAACCCACCATGCATACTCTGGGGCCCCCAAGCCTTGGCCATAGCCAGCCTGCACCTAATGCTCTCCATTATCCCATTCCAGACAAAGGGAAATTGCTCTGTGTAGGTGACATATATATGTAGAACTCTCAGTCTAGTTTGGATGCTCTTAAGCATGGTGATGGGTTTCCAGCGGAGCAAAAAAAACCTGTGGCAGATTGTTTAATCCCATTTCCCTGCCTTTTCCCCACACTCCTCAATACCCTTACTTCCCAACTATTCATCTTTCTCACCTTTTGCTTCATCTTTGATTCTGACTCCACATTCTTCTGGGGCAGTGAAAGCCACATTTTCACGACAATCTGTGTGAAGGAATGTATTTTTGAGCGGGTGATTCCTGCTCCGACCATGCTGTCATCGGAATAGCCATGGTGGGATGCAGCAACTTATTGAGCCTATTACCAGCTGGATAACCCTTATTGCTCCGTGCCAGCACCACAGGATGTTACACTTCCATTAAACGCTCCCAGTCTAGTTTTCATTCCGACAGTAAAACCTGGGCCCACCTGTCGAGATCAGCCACCAATGAAGGAAACCTCTTGTGAAGGTACAACTGGTTTGAGCACCACTTAACAAGAGGGGCCAGGGTTTGTGTCTGTGCTTGCGATCTTGGCTATATCATTGAGCCAGGAGAGGGAGGGAGGGAGGGTTTAATGGAAGGAGAAATGTCCTCTCTCCTTGGGCAGTCGTGTGACACAGGCAAGGTTGAACTCAGATCAAGGCTTAACAAGTTTAACACAGGCAGGTCCTTCATTTCTAATTCTGTGTATTTCTTGTTGTCACAGGTCTCCCATGAGTTTGCGATCAACTTCGATCCGACAAACCCTTTCTGTGCAGGTTGGTATTGGGGAAGCAAGGCACCAGGATACTCAGTCCACCTGTCTCCATTCCATTTGCTTCTTACATTTTCAGATCCCTTTACGCTGATAAGGCTAGAAATTTCCTGAGTTCTGAACCTGGCCATGGGACCATTTTGTCTTAGGGTGTAAAAGCAGGAAGATTTGTGGAAAATTGCTCAATTTAGTTTGAATTCATGAGTCGTTTTCTCCACATTTCAAGAATTTTCCCCAATTCTGCACAACCGCAGATGAAGACTAAAGGGGCCAGCCTGGCTCAGTCGGCAGACCTCTCGCCTCTGCGTCAGAGGGTTATGGGTTCAAGCCACACATCGGGCCTTTGAACTCATTAGTCCAGTGCAGAGCTGGAGATGCTTCTGTATTGTTTCTACCAATCATGCAGGCGTTTCTCCAGTGTCTTTGTCCTGAGTAGTGCTGAGCGTGACGAGGGCAGCGATTGGAATCCGCAAGCGAGCTCATTACTGTTTGTGCTGCTCTCTGAGACCGTCCAACGAAGCCATTGACCGGTCTCTAATCTGATTGCCTCCTGTAGGTGTGGATGGTATTGTCGAAGCGTACACGGCCTGCCTACCCCACATTCGGTTTTACGGACCCACCAACTTTGCTCCGATAATAAACCACGTGGCACGGTTTGCCGGCCAGGCCATGCAGCAGGAGGCAGCGGCGGTAAGTGAGGGGCAGAAGGAATAAAGTGGGGTTCGCGAGACATTTGTCTTCAACCCCCCCCACCCACCCCCGAATTTACACACGGTGTCGGGAAATGTCACGATAAGTAGTTATGCTGCACGTTTAGCATTGGATTCGGTAACTGAATAGTGTCAACAGAGCTCAGAATAGATCAAAGGGTAGAAAATTGTGTATGTGCGTGTGTGGGGAGGGGGAGGAGGTTGCACAATCACTGTTGATCTCAATGTGGACTCCATGCAACACCTTTAACCGAATAGACAGTCTCGAATTCGAAGGTCACTCTCATATTTTCTTTTGAACCTTTCAATTTCAATCGCAGCCTAATCAATCTATTCAACTGTTTCACTTCACAGTATATTTAATGCAAATATATATTTTAATATATATATATATTCAGTGAAAAGCACTATATCAAATGCAAGGATTATTATTATTATTATTAATCGCGGCCTTCGTCCATCTCACCCCAGTGACCATTCTTCCCGTGTGAGTCTCGATCTTGCACCTTAGTCAGCTCTTTAATAGAGTGAACCCAGTTGGGCCCCAATAAAAATCTTTCAATTAAGTTACAATCTACTCTTGGCACCTGTTTACTCCCTGAACAGCTCAACAATTTTGTTCTGTGCGATTAAATTTTTTTTTGCCTTATTAAATCCTGCTCCTTTTAGGATCTGACTTGTCGCACGATTAATGCGCAGGTCACACCTGATGTAGAATAGGTTCGGTCTTCTTTCCGAAGTGAATGTGGGGCACTTTGTGAAGCGGTTAAGCTGTGAAGAGATCCAGCTGTTCTCACATCCGTTTGCAGGCAATAATCCTGTTTCAGGCGGTAACTTGTTTCTTTGCGTGTTGGCATGATCTTACATAAATTCCACGAGTCGTTCTGTGAAGTCTTATTGTTCTGTCTGAAATTTACACACTGTGTGTTCTCAGAGCATCCAGTAAGCACTTGGGAGAAATGAAGCCTTTAACTCCTTTTATTGTCATCAATTGGTTCACAATCAAAGCAACAAAGCTTTCAGTTGAACACATCCTTAGTCAAAAGTGTCTCAAAGTGCTTCACAGGTAAATATTGGACAAGATGTTTTTCTGACTTTATTACAATAGTAATAATACTTTATTGCATGTCTCTGGTCAGTTTTATATTAAAGTGTTATTTTCTTATTGATTGTAATTATGTTTTGATAATTGGATTTTGACGCCAGAGTTCCTGTTTAATCTGATTACTCAGACGAACATAACTGGAATGAGAAGATTTAATGGTCAGTTTGTACTGTAAGACAAAAATTCACAAACCGACAGGATATACTGTAAAGTGATTGCATGTTTCGTAGGCGAACATGGCAGCCGATTTCCATCCCTTTTAATGAATTTTTGTGATCCATAGCTAACGTGGGATGACTCCTTTATTTCTTTGAGAGCGCCCAGGAGTTTCACCACGAACACCAAACCTGTTCCCGTTTCACTCTCCTTTCACTGCTATCGTTCGTCTGATCTATAATGGGTGTTTAGCAGAAGAAAATTAAATATAATGAAACCTACATCAGCAATACTGAATAATAATGAATGCAAGTATCACAATCTGAGGCATTTAACCCTGGTGTTTATTACACAGTTGCACGTCATTGATTTTATGAATTATATACGTATAAAAATATAAAAATGTACGTTAGATCCCAGCTCGAAGCCATACTAAGCCTTCCACCCCTTAATGCAGTTAAATCAACCTTTGAAACATGAATTCTTTATTCATTTTTCTTTGTAGCTCACTCTTTCTCTTTCCTGCTTTCTTTTCTGCCCTATTTTTCCCATGTTCTCAAACGCCACAGTGGACACTTACAGTTGAGAATTTCCCTTTGCTGGTTTACATTATCTGCCTCTCTAGCCGGATGTTAAAAATCCCACTGCGCTACTGGAGAAGACAAAGGAATTTCTCTTTCTCGGTTTCCTAGCCAACAATCCCCTAGATAAGATTGGTCACTTACTTCACGGTTGTTTGTGGGACATTGTTGTGGGCAAACTGTCTGCCATGTTTGCCCACAAATGTACAGTCACGTTACAGTAAATCCTGCGAAGTGTTCTAAAATGTCCTCCTGATGTGAAAGGCACTATATCAAATGTAAGGATTATTATGATTTATTATCATTATTACAAAATTTCACATGTAAATGGGCAGAAGTTTTTTGCTCAGCTCACTGCTAAAAGGATCAGTTAGCGCGACATGTAAACTAAGCTTCCTGTTGTTAATGACTCCATCACTGGAAGGGTTTGTGAATTTTTGTCTCACAGTACAAACTGACCATTAAATATTCTCATTCCGGTTATGTTCGTCTGAGTAATCAGATTAAACAGGAACTCTGGCGTCAAAATCCAATTATCAAAACATAATTACGATCAACAAGAAAATAACACTTTAATATGAAATTGACCAAAGACATGCAATAAAGTATTATTACTATCGTAATAAAGTCAGAAAAACATCTTGTCCAATATTTAAAGCAATAAACCAATAAGTCACAGTGCTCTCTCTCTCTGGTGTGGCTGCCTTCAGTGCTTGGATTCAGTTCTCTGTAGCTTTACACAAAGGCGGCTGAGAGCTGGTGCTGCTCTGGAGTTTGAGGCACAGGTAACTCTTTTAGGCGGCTTAGTTTGGTTTGGATACTCTTAAGCTTAGTGATGGATGGTTACCGCACGTGTCAGACACCCCGCTGGCCAAAACAAATTAGCTGTCTTACTAGACCAGGTTGATCCCAGTATCGGGAGGTAGGAAATGCAAAGTAACGTGTACCTCAGACAATTTATGCATTTCGAACCGTTCAGAATTATGGTCAGTTTCAAACCAAACATTGGCTTATAGTTCAGGGTCTCTTTGCTTTGATTCATAAGATAGTGGGTTGTTCTGGGCCTACATTTGAGCTTGTAATCCAGACTGATACTCCCCTACACTTCACAGAAACGTTAGGGAGTGCTTTCAGTTATTGAAAGCACGCTATCAAATATAAGGTTTATATATTTCATCTTAAAACAAAGCCCCTTCTTGCATGTTCAGGTGGATGTTAAATATCCCTTGACACTATTCGAAGAGAGAAGAGAGTTTCTCTCTGAGTCCTGGGCCACAACGCTCCAGATAAAATTGGTCACTCACTTCTCGGCTGCTTGTGGGACATTTGCTGTGTGTAAATCGGCTGTCTTGTTCGCTTAAAAAATACAATTCACAGATAACTCTGCGAGGCGTTTCGAGAAGTTTTGACGCAATCTCAAATGCAGGCATTATTTTTATTATTTTTATAACGAGTGGTGATGAGCAGTAAGAAATTGAGATGTGTCCATCTCGTTGAATGCCAGGGTGTTTCATTAATCTGACAGATTGAAACTGACAGAAGGAAATACTGGGAGACTGGTCTTTTATTGGATGAAACTGCTTTCAGTAGGGAGTCTCCAGGTTCAGATCTTGGCTCTACTGATGGACCCATTTGCAGTGTGAGGTAGCCTTAAACAAACAAGAAGATGAAAGGTCACTCTCTAACCAAAGAGAGCCTTGGACAGTGAATGGTCGGACAGTCCTACCTCCTCCATTTCTGAACTACCCATCACAACAAGCATGAAGCATTTATAGTGCCCAAAGCCAATTAGAGACTCAATTGGAGGGAAGAAGAAGGAGGTGAGAGTATTCTGCCTCAGACCTTTCATATCAATGTATAATCATAATAATAATAATCCTTGCATTTGATATAGCTCCTTATGTCGTTGAGACATCTCAAAGCACTTCACAGAATATACTGTAAAGTGTATTGACTGTGTATTTTGTGGGCGAAACGCTGGATGAATGAACCTGGTTTGTAAAACCCTGTTTCAGTCCCTGCGTCTCTGCCTTCAGTTATAAGCAGAGCTTCCATTATTGTCGCGTCTAAAACGTTCTGAAGACAATTTCCGACACAACTTTTTGTTTTGTATTTTCGAAGGCTTCCGCCTGCAAAATACACAGTGGCTGCACTTTACAGTGAAGCGCTTTTGAGACATCCTCCCCGAAAGGCGCTATAGCAAATGTAAGGATTATTATTATAATAAGACTTTGGACTGAGAATAGAAGGTGTCCCTGCCTCTGGTGGCGGCACATCTACAGGCAGGGGCTCTTTCTTCTCTGTTCCAGTAAGTGCCATCTACTGCTATTAATCCAACAGGATATGCCGCTGAGGCGAGTGGGCAGCACTTCAGAATTTGAGTATTTAAGTTGTACGTGTCAAATACATGCTAAATAATAGACAAATGCAGTTAAATCACAGTCCTGCCTCTAGGAATCCATTTGAATTTTCTAACACAACTTTTGGAATCTGTGTTTCAAATCACAGGAGCCAGAGATTCTTCCCGCTCAGCTCCTCTTAGCCCTGCAAACCAAAGCCCAAATGGGTAGGGTGGTCCTAGCTGGACGAGCAGCAGGAAGCTAGCCACATGCTGCGCTCAATGGCAAGCTTTGCAGTTTTACCTGGCTAGGCTCCAGCAGCAGCCCACCTCAGCGTACACTCTGGGGTCCCTAAGCCTTGGATTTAGCCAATTTACACCTAGCATACCCTAATAATTTCACCCACAAAATAAACAGTCAATCCACTTCACAGTATATCCTATGAAGCGCATTGAGATGCCTCGACTACATGATAAGGCACTCCATCAAATTACGGTATTAATACTCTCTGATGTTAAGTTAGCAGAGAGTATCCCTCCAGGGAGAGAGTGTGCATTCAAGCCAGGCACAGGGAAATTCAAACTCTATTTGTAATTTTGTTGTTGTTGTTGCAAGTGGTCCATTCATAAGAGGAAACCTATCAGCATGTTTAAGATTATCCGAACCAGATTATTCAGTTGGGTTTGGATACCGTTAGGTAGGGCTTGAGACGGACCTTAAAATAGTTGAAGGTGCGAGCGAGACCGAGGGACCAGTCAGAAGGATCCCAGTGGGGTGAGACAGTGGAGGGACTTAAGGAGTTAAAATGAGAAGGTAAAAGCTTATGTGGTCAGGTCGTACACCCATGTGTCTATAGCATTTCTTGTCATTGTGAGACAGTGTTTACTCACCACATTAGAGAATCCGGTGCCAGAAATACTAGACTGATCTTTACTGTTATAGTGTATGTAGGCTGTACAGTCTGGGCTCCTTTTGATCTGTTCTGTGCTTTCTGGCTGCAATAATCCGTGCATTTGATACATGTCTCAAAGCGCTTCACAGAATATATTGTAAAGTGATTGACTGTATATATTTTGTGGGTGAAACGCACTGGGTGGCTGGATCTAGAGGGGGACTATTTGACTACAGACTGCAGCCTCTGAAACGTTCCTTCTCTGTAAGAATTGCGTTGCATAATAATGATAAAGCTTGATGGGGTGGGGGATTGTCAGAGAGCATTATTTACTGATTACATGGGGTCGATATCCATCTCAGATCATTGTATGTTAGAGGTTTGTAGCCACGTTCCAATAAATAAAGCATGAAACCACCGAATCGGATAGATCCATTGGAAGATGCTAGTTTCACTGATTCTGAAGCTACTCTGTGCATATAACGATCGTGTCTGTGCTTACGCTTTTAAAGAGCAATCCTTTCAGTCCCTTGTGCCTGTCTTTCCCCCCCATAACCCTGTCGTGCTTCTGTTCATTAAATTTCTTTCTACACTAGAAGCAAACAGGATTCCCTTTGATGTAGTAATTCACCGGTCAGTCTTTCATTACGGAGATAGGATCTTGTTTAGTTAAAGCGATGGAAAAATCTCAAAGGCATTTAGTTCCGTGCAAGAAACAACAGATCAAGGATCAAACAGATCCACACCAAAAGAATTGGAAATATTATCTCTTTTAAAGAGGGGGGTCAAATCCCAACTGGCCTTTGCATCACAAAACATTCAGTACAGTTGGTTTTGACATCTGCCTCTTCCTGATATAAGTTTCGCAAAGGTTCGAACTCCTCTGGATCTGCACTAGGTTGTATACTTGAGAAGGGTTTACCTCTCCTTGGCACAATACTGTTGTCATGGGCGTATTTCCAGAAGGAAATGCTCCATTTAATGCATCCCTTATGAGCCATATCGCTTTCACGTTGCTTCTGTGAGGAGTTTGGCCAGGCTTCTGGAGAGACAGCACCTCTAATCTAGTCCACGCTGATTTGACAGGATGGTAAAGCTGTGGAATATAATTGTCAGCCTTTCAAACACACTTTGTGACAGTGGCAGAGCACGATGCTGAGGCGGGTGGGGGGGTGGTGTGGGGGAGGTGACCATAAGCACGGTCGAAGAGGAAGGCTCACAGGCGCAACCTGAAGATGGGGGAAGGAAGGGACAAGACGGAGGGATAGAGGAAGAACGTTCCAGAGTTTCGGGGCAGGGACTTTACCAACTGAGCCGCCAAACCATATTTAATTTTAATGATATCTCACGGTGCTAGACGTTTAACAGGGTTTTGATGAATGAGGATGGGGAGGGAGAGAGAGACTGAATGGGGAGAGGTGGGGGGGGGGGAGGGGAGTTGTCATATGTCTGCTAAGTTTTTGCTGGGTTTGAAGCTAAAACAAGAGGCATTTGCTGGTTAATGAGCTGGCACTCAGCCCAGCAGGACTCTGACACTGATTGTGATTAATGCTGAATAAAAGTTCTGATTGCCTCCTCGGGCTTGACAGTTGTTCAGTTTTACACCAGAGATCAGATTTGTTCAATTCTCTCTGAAATCCCTAAGATTTTTGTGCCATTTCTCCTCTCCTGAAACCATTTAACTTCCCTTTTGCTGCCTGTGATCTGCCGTTTTGACTGTAAAGCAGCATTGCAACTGAGACCAACTCTGCCTTTCTCTGACTTAATGATAATAATCCTTGCATGTGATTCAGCACCTTTCACGTCAATTGGATGTCCCACAGCGCTTCAGAAAATCATCAACTCACCCCCAACCACACCCACACACACACCCACACACTACCCCACCAGCCCTCAGCAGTCTCACCTGAAATCCTTTAGTGTTAGTGGTTAGAACCCTTGCAAAGCAAGCAAGCAAGAGGACCTGGGTTTGATTCCCGGGCAGGATGAAACCTTAGGCAAGTTTCCTTACTGTACACACACGCCTCTGTTTACCTGGCAGTAAGTAGGAGCCTGCTTGTTAGACGATTAGCAGATCGCTTTCCGGGTGCAATATTCTCTCCAAAATAGTATGGCCACTGTTTGTGGGACGTTGCTGTGGACAATTGGCTGTCCCGCTTTGCCCACAAAATATACAGTCACTATACTTTACAGTATATCCTGTGAAGCACTTTGAGACATCCTGACGACTTGATAAGGCGCTATATCAAATGCAAGGATTACTATTATCATTATTATTATTTTACTGTGAAGTAGAGTCACTGTGTATTTGTGGGCGAATGTAACAGTCAATTTGCTCAGATATTCTATCAGAACTGAAGCTCATGTATCTAAATGCACATCGACTTGCTGAGCTGTAAGTTTGTGCACGAACCTAAAGACTGGGCTCCTGAGTTAAAATAATCAGCCATGGGTCTTGCCCAATATCAGTGTGGTTGTTTTGATCTGATCTGATCTCTGGATTATCTGTTCGTGGTGTGAGATCGGGCAATTTCAGTTCCCAACGGTTCAGGAAATTACGAGGTTTCCAAAAAATAACTGATTCTTTCCAGTGTTGATGCCTGAGACATTCGTTCTTCTCCCCTAAGGCTGTCCTAGAGTCAGATTCCCATTGTAATTTAAAATCAATCCCTTGAAATCCCGCTGTATCCAACTTATCCTGAAACTGCCTATTCGTGGAGCCTTTCAGCCAGAAGTGCAGGCAATGTGTTGACTCTTACACAGGCTTGGCTGTGCAGCTCGCAGTTTTATTGATATTAATGGTTTCAAAGCCAATATTTTATATTTAGATCTTTCCTGTGCTCTCGGATGAATTTATACCAGAATGTACCTTCCCAGCCGCTTGTAATCCCTTCTACTGTGTCTCTTTCAATTCAATATCTGTAACCGGGTTGTACACCTTTGTAGATTATTATTCAAGCGCTCCGGGACGCTACCCCAGGTGAAGGGCGTTATACGAACTCAAGTTGTTGTTGTATCCACCACCACAAGATCAAACAGGATCAAAAGGTTGATCTGGATGAAGAAGGCCCTTCATCCCATCCGATCTCATCCTTCCCGAACACCCACCTTCTTGGGCTCTCATCACAGCATCACGCTGCTTTTGAAGCCAGAACAGGGCGAGCTTTCTTAATCCCACACCACATGCTGCAATGAGGAGCTGAGTCTGAGGATGAGCCCAAAGCCCTGCTATAATCTGTGCAGACTAAGGATGCGGGCGCCTGCTGAGTGCTCTGGGACGCTATCCTGCGTGAAAGGCGCTGTACAAATGCAAGTTGTTGTTGTTGCTGAGTTAGCCAGGGCACTCTAGGTTAAGGAAGGGTAAATCAAACAGGGTGCCTGCCTGCTCTTGATAGCTATCTGGTGCATGCGTTGGCAGGGGTAGTGGGGGGTTGTCTGTGTGTCAGGTAAGGACAATATTAGGCCAGGCTGTGAGGCTTTCCATAGTTCAATATTCCACCAACTCACACTGACTTGGGTCACACATGAAGAATTCATCTTGACTGAGTTATCAGAGGGTCTTCTGTAGGACTACACCATCTGTCACAAGTCAACACCTTCAGGAGAAAAAATCCACCTTCCCCTCCTACCCCTTCGTACAAATCCTGAGGAAAATCAGTGGCTTTTGATTACGAATGTTATTTCCGTATTGAAATCTGAACAAAAATTGCCGCAAAGAAAAATTGAATCAAACGATACATTCCATACATTTTTTAAGTTCCACTTTAGAATGATTCTCCTGGTTGAAGAAAAAACTCTCGTGAATTTGACAGCATGTGCTGTGTGTGAGTGCCTTGAAGCACTTGGGGGTTAATGGGGGTGACTGGGTTTCATTGTGCGTTTGGATTTGACTAAGGCTTGCACAAAATGACTATAATTTTGTTCCCACACGTAAAAAACTGGGGAGAACCTGTGTCTAGATTTACACCATTAACATAGCGTTTTAGAGTGTGCAGAAGTTGGCAAGAAGTGAATTGTGTCTTAACTTTGAAGCGAGTTTTGTGCAGTTTTTAATAGGTGTTTTTACATTCCTTCCTTTGGATGAGACGTTAAACCGAGGTCCCGTCTGCCTGTTCAGATGGACGTTAAAGATCCCGTGGCACAATTTTTCCCCGGGTGTGGGGGCGGGGCGGGGGAGGGCCTGGCCAACAAATCCCTCAAATAAAATCAGTCACTCATTCCATGGCTGTTTGTGGGACGTTGCTGTGCGCAACTGGTTATCTGTCGTGTTTCACTCCCAAAAAATACACAGTCAATCCACTTTACCGCACGCCCTTATGAAGAGCTTTGAGACGTCCTGACGATGTGATAAGACGCTATATTAAATGCAAAAGTTATTATTATGATTCTTATTAACATACAGATGTCACTCAGTGATGACACGAGTTTGGGGAAACTTGGAATAGCCCTTCAGGTTTGCGCCTGGCATTGCTCACTGCCGGCTGTTGACGTGGCCTGTTGTTGTTCTCTTGTCTCCTGCGTCTCCAGCAATACTTCATCCTCCTGATCATCACAGACGGTGTCATCAGCGACATGGATGAAACCAGACACGCGGTGGTGCAGGCTGCCATGCTTCCCATGTCCATCATCATCATCGGGGTGGGCAACGCCGACTTCGCTGCTATGGAGTTCCTGGACGGGGACAATCGGATCTTGCGCTCCTACACTGGGGAAGAGGCGGTCCGGGACATCGTACAGTTTGTGCCATTCCGGGAGTTTCGCAATGTAAGTGCTCCGTCAGAGAGACATCGTGACTCGTTCCTTCCATATCACAGAGAACTCCCCCCCCCCCCCCCTCCCCTGGAGCAGTGGGTTAGCAGAACAATTCACTCCACTGAGACCCCAAATAACTGTGGGGTCTGTGTCCCCCACCCACCCACCACCACATGGGCAAATTTGAGTGGGTGGGCTCCAGTGGACCTGCGTGTCCCGTCAAAGAGCAAGAAAAAGAGGTATAGGGGAGGGGAGGCATTTGTTCTTCTAAGAAATGACACACTCTTAAGAGAAAAAGAAAGTCTCAAAGAGCCATTTAAAGTCTTCCTGCATCTCCTTTTCTGAAACGCTGCCCTTTCCTTTATCAGTTTACCATGTCCGGTTTCACTTGGATTGAAATCCATAGTAGTTCTTGTCTGTGCCTCTCACACCGTATAACCATCCGTGACCAGACAATGTTGAACATTAGCGTTAGCACACACACTCACACACACTCACACACACACATACACACACACACACACACATACACACACACACACATAGAGGTCTGTGGGGCTTTTGCTGCCGTGAATTAGCTTTGTGGTTGCCGAGGCAACAGCACTCAAAAGAAACTCATTGTGGGTACCACTTTGAGGCTTGACCTGATAGGGCATTACATCGAACAAAACATTTTTTTTTAATACTATTATCGTTATTACTATACAAGACTTCCCAGACCCATTTGTCGTAGGATGCTGACAGCCAGAAGATGGAGGAGACTTTCCTTCCCTCTGTCTGCACTGGATCCGCAGGACCCTGAGGTGAAAGGAAGAACCCACTGCCCCAGCCAGTCTTTAAGAACCATCACAACCAACACCAGAGAGATGGCAAAGGGCCACACACTCTGTACGTCGTGCCCTGCCTCTAAATATATACCCCACGTCGGGACTTGAACTCACATCGTCTAAGCTGATGCTCCAATGCAGTGCTAGGGGGTGTTGCATTGCCAGAGGTGTCATCTTTCAGGTTGAGTTGATAAACCAAGGCCCCATCTGCCTGTTCAGTTGGATTTAATAATCAAATGGCACTACTCGAAAAGAGAACCAAGTTTCTCTCTCGCAGTGTCCTGGCCAACAATTACCCCCAAAATAAAATTGGTCACTCACTCATGGCTGTTTGTGGGACATTGCTGTGCACAATTGTGCTGCTGTATTTGCCTACAAATACTTCATTTCACAGTAATTCCTATAAAGTGCTATGAGACTTTCTTCCAACGTGATAAGGTGCTATGCCAAATGTAAGGATTATTATTATTATTATAGACCTTTCCATGATACAATGGCTGTGACATTACACAAATGACTGTGTAAATGCAGGCTCTTTAGAAGGGACAGACGAGGTTATAGATTTCACAGCTATGATAACATAAGCGCACATTAAATAAAACTAGATCTAATCATACAAAACATAATTTTCTAATTATGTTATTGCCCAAAACGCCTTTGTGACTCAATGTATAATAATAACTAATTTTCTGTGAAGTGCTAGGTGAGTGCTGTCTCTCTGCTGTACCTATTCTCAGACTGTCAATATTTATTTTAATCGTTGGGTTTACATTAGAGCCAGTGGAATGTATGATGCTCTTAGATGGCTGAGCAATTCGTAGAGAAAACAGCAATACCCCCCACCCCCACTCCCCCAATCAATGAATTACACTACAACAAACTCCGTGCCCATATCTGAAGATATTTGTATTAATATATGTTTCATTCATTCCCAAACCAACCTAGCATTTCATAACACAGATGCAAATGGTAGTAATAATAATAATCCTTACATTAGATACAGTGGTTTATCACATCTTCGAGATGTCTCAAAGCGCTTCACATGATGCACTGTAAAGTGAATTGGCTATATTATTATTATTATTAATTTTAACCCTTAGACTGCCGGAAGGTCGCAGGAAACTAGTTTCTCCAGGCTCCAATGTTTTTACAAGCATGTTTCACCGGTGCTAAAAACAAACCCTCCCTAAAGTGGAGGCTTATTGTAGCATCTTTCGCTATAACCTCAGTTATGATTAACTAACTGCAAAGCCAGAGAACAAGCGCCAAGAGCCGCACACCAATGGCATTTCAATGGAGCCATTTTGTGAGCTCCTACCTCCCAGGTATAACTTCGGTGCCGCCTTCAGCCCACCTTCGTGATCTTGTGTATTCTGCTAATAACTGTAAAAAAAAAGCTCTACTTAACTGATATATAAACTAGGAAGATTCCCAGCTCGATCTCCAGTCCTAATTGAATTGATTGATCTCAACCCAATCGCGGATGGAACCCAATCTGGAGTGAAAACACAATGTCATTGCCCAAAACGCCTTTGCGACTTGATGTGACTCACCACTGTGAGCCAGAGGCACCCCCTGCAGGATGTTATCCTAATGCTCCTCTGCTGGAAGGTGCACATTGTGTGGACATCAGGTCAGAGAGGACCAGCCTGGGGTCTGAATTCCCCACATGGTTGAATATCCCGCAACACTGAACGGTCACCTAGTCCGGGTGCTGGAGGGCAGATAGCAGCAGCGAACTATGCCACGGCTCGGAGGAGATGGGAGAAAGGCTCTTAAAACATTCTGGAGGAAATCAGCCAAGCAAACATTCAGTGAACATCGGTGTCAGCATTTAATTGTGTTAACATGACTTATATTCTCACCGTACAATGTGCAAGTTGGACTCTAATCCTTCAAACCATTGAGTGTACATGGGCTGACCGTGCCGCATGAAATTCCCTCACAGGTTTCTACATGGGAAGATGCCAACCCTTTATTCCCCAGTCAGTTTTAACAATGTCGATGCACTTAAGTGTGAATTAATTATTTAATGAATCGGGCACACCGTTGGGTTCTTGCCAGTGTAGCTGTGTGCCGCCAACTGTGAAAACACCGCTGCTGTTCTTTAAACACAGGAAATCATCTCCGCTGTGTACAGGGAGTGAGCTTGGCTCGGTGGATCGAGCAGCTGCTCTCAGCTTCAGGGTCTCTTATGAGTTTACCAGTCGGGACATTTTCACCAGGATCACAATCTTTTTGTAGTGCGTTTCTCTGGGGACAATTTAAAATGTCAGTGACCTAGTCTGTTTATCACCTTTGTACCATCCGTGTGAAACCTGTGGCTTCTCACTTAATAATAATAATAATCATCATAATAATCATTATTAAGACATCTCATTAAGACGTCTCAAAGCGCTTCACAGAATATTCTGCAAAGTGAATTGAATGTATACTTTGTGGGTGAAATTGATTTAATTTCAACAGTGTCAAGGCTTTGATGCACACTGGTGTACGGTTATAACAGAAACCCCTTCACTTAGCTTCTCTTTCTTAAATCGGGCCTTTTTTTAAATCAAGAAAGCTATTCTGAACTGTGCAATAAATCCTCGGTCGTAAATCACATTCGTTCACTTTCAGCTTCAATAGCTTGTACTAATAATAGTAGCTTTCATCCCACGATTGATATGATGAAGAAGGTCTAACCTCCAGAATATCTATCCTACTGTTCTCCTATCACAGCATCAAGCTTTTTCTTTTTTAAATTAGTTTTTTTTTAAAATGTCTTGCTCTCAACTACCTTTCCTGACGACCTGTTCATTAATCAGCTTCTGAGAAAAGAAAAACTTCCTGTTGTCTGTAGAGTACATCTCACTTTACGTGAATGACCTTGGGTCCTTGGAATGCGTAAGAGGCAGCCCAGACCCTGGGGCCGCAATCCGTAGCTCTGCACCTTATAGCAGGCGTCACTGAACAGAGATCGGGGAACCCTGGCTGGATTTTCACACTGGGAGCCGCTGAGCACAATTGCAGTACTCCTAACCTGACACTCCACCCAAGGCTTGTGACCTTCCTGGTCTGCATCCTTCAGTTACACACAGGGTCGAGTCTCAAACAACTGAGCCCCTGGCGGTCTGCAAAGCACCATCACACTGAAAGTACATCCTCCTCTTCTTGCTACACATGGTCGCTGACATCCTGTTGAACAATGACTCCACATTGCCTGACGTAATGGTCCTGCATTCAGCCAGAGAGAGACACACACTGGACACGAGGAGAGCATGCGGACGGCAGTCTCCAAATGAGTAGCTCCTTCAAAACTGAGCAGACTCATTTTATGTACTGTTGCTAGGTTACATTAGCAGTCGCTGGGATTTGAGCTGCGGTCACTGACACGGAAAGGTGAAACATTTCAGGCAATCCACTAGCAGACTGCTCCGGTTTCATAACCCCGTTAATATCACCTCCGTAGCCCAATATAAAGGTCTGTAAATGTCTTTAAATGTCACATACACATTGCATCTGACCGAGGCCATTTGCTGACTTTTCTGCTGAATTACAATCCAAAAATAAGCTTGAATCTACATTCTGCAAACAAATGCCATTAGATGCAACAGCTGCGCTATACAGAGAGGCATATCCATCTTTTGGAAGAAAAAGGGAGGAAAAAAATGCTCCCTCAGGCAGGTTTAGCCCAAGCAGCTATCAGAGAAAAGCAATATCAAACTGGAATTTTATGGTTTATGTTATGATGTTGCAATAACTGCAAATTGAGGGGTTGTGCGAGATCAGTTCTTATGGAATGTTTTTTTTCCACTGTGGGACACTAAGGTGATCGGTGAATTAAAGTCAAACTCCAAGTTCAGGGCTGGTGGAATAATGTATTGATTCAGGATTGCACTGAGCGCCAGCCGAGATCGCCTTAGGATTTCCAGGTGCGGTTCTCAAATCAGGATGTTTTGGATGTTAGTGGAGGTTTCCCTGGGAATGAGGGAACTAAGAGTTAGGGGCACCACGTCCCACGATGACCCACAAGAATGAGATCAGTGGCCAGATCCTATACAATCCAAAAAAAAACAACTGCCTTGTTTGTTTATGCAATGCACATCCAAAACTGTACACCATAGCCTGCTCAGCCTAAACCACCTATTCCACTTGCTACGACAGATAAAGACATCGAGGGATATTTTTCAGCAGCTGGTAATTTTAGACTAATGGAATGTGACTTCTCCTCTGGCTCATAATGTTGGGTCAAACATTTTCCGCCACGGGTTAAATCCAATCCATAAAAAATAATAATAATCATCCTTGCATTTGATATAGCGCCTTACCACATTGTTAAGTCATCGTCAGATTATACTCACAGAATATACTGTAAAGTGAATTGACTGTATTATATGAGCAATTGTAAAAACACCCATTGTAAAGGGAGTAGAGCTGCACATGAACCCAATCAACTTCTTTGATTGTCCCTTTCCACTCACCTTGGGTGCGAGTCTTCGAGCGCTTAATGTTCTATGAGTCGATGCTATAACCCTCTGTTCTATTGTCCGTTCTGCAGGCTCCAAAAGAAACTTTGGCCAAGTCTGTTCTGGCAGAGCTGCCTCAGCAAGTGGTTCAGCATTTCAAGCAAAGGAACGTGCCGCCTGTCAACTCCGACCCAGCTTAAACAGCAACACCCCTCTCCCCCCCGCCCCACGCACACTCAAACCTGCATGATGCCAAATCCCCGGCCCTCCCTCCCCCCCTACACTGAAAAGTTTACAGCATAAATCGTTGCATGTTTTGCAGCAGTTGGCGCATTTGTAACGTTTCGTTTTTAACTGTACAAAAAGAAAATAATTTTAAATGACTCCAATCTCAATTTGTTTGTAACGAAAATCTGGTGCTTTGTAAATGTGTGGCGACAAACACTACAGCAGTTTGGTCAAGAAAAGTAGCCACGGTTAAAGTATTGAATGTATCTTTGTATTATCGGTGTTATGTAACTGTGTTTTTATAATTAATGCCAAACTGGGCTTAAATAAGTTATGTATTGAGAATAGTCTATGTGACATGTACCTGACAGAATTGAGAGCGAGGATTTATCTTTCATTTTGTGTCCACCTTGCCTGTGTTCAAAATAAAGTGTACTTTTGTCAAGTTGTTACATTCACAAAGTAGGTACCATGATGATTCAGTAAATTAAGGAGAATTGTATATTATTTCCACTCGTTAGAAAACTCGCCTTACTCTTGCCTCTCAAGTCGGAAGGTTGTGGGTTCAAGCCCCAGGTTAGAACCTGGAATTCATATAGATAGTGTTAAAGTTCAGAGGGACTTGGGTGTCCTTCTACACCAGTCACAAAAAGTTAAGTTTGCAGGTACAGTAAGCAATTAGGAAAGCTAACGGTATGTTGGCATTTAATAATAATAATAATAATCCTTGCATTTGATATAGCGCTTTTCACATCGAGAGGACGTCCCAAAGCGCTTCACAAAATATACTGTAAAGTGAATTGACTGTATATTTGTGGGCGAACGCGGCAGCCAATTGCGCACAGCAATGTCCCACAAACAGTCGTAGATTGAAAATGACCAATTTATTATTGTTTTTTGGTTTTGGAGGGATTATTATTAGGGCTGTGTGTGGAGTAAGGAAACTTGCCCAAGTGCTTTGAGACACCCTCTTGACTTATTATTATTATCTAACTGCATTTCTCTGAGGTTCTGCGTTCCTCCACAAACCTCTCAATAACCTTGCTTTTCAACTTAACTCCCTCTGAAACACTAAACCTAAATTCAGCGCTTTGCTTGAATTGGTGACTATTGTCAATGTGCCTGCTGCTGCTCATTTAGTGCATAAAGTTCATTTGGAGAGACTTGGGTTCAATTCCTAGCAGGGTGAAATGTTGGGCAAGTTTCCTTACTCCACATGCCTCCATTTACCTAGCAGTAGGTAGGAACCCGGTTGTTAGTCGATTGGCGGATCTCTTTTCCGGGGGTAATAATCCCTTCAAAAAAATAATTGGTCACTTCAATCCACGATTGTTTGTGGGACACTGCTGTGTGCAATTGCCTGCTGCGTTTAGCCCACAAAAGATAGTCAATTCACTTTACAGTATATTCTGTGACATCTCAGAGACATGAAAAAGCACTATATCAAAGGCACGGATTATTATATAATGCATAAAGATGGGCTTTTATCGATACAATATGTTCCTGATGAAAGAAAGGACAAAAAAAAACTCAGTTCAGTTTGCTTTGGATGCTCCTCCACTGCTCAATTTTCTCATGGATCTGCTTGTTCTCACACTTTATTCCTGCCTTGTTCTCATCATTCCTCTGAGCAGGATGCAGCTCTTTCAACTAAAACTCTCAAGCATTGAAGTAGCACTACTATTACACTTCCCATAGTGATTCCAGGGAAGCAAATCTTGGATCAGTATGTGTCTGGACAAGGGCAAAGCTGTTGAGATACGTTAACAATCCAGTAAATCTTGTCACTTCCGTTTGCTGCATTATTCAATGACTAATTTTGTTCTTTAAAAGTAAACTTGAGGACTGTGTATTCACATCTCGAGCTATCAACTTCCCGAAAGTTCAGTGGAGACAAACACTCCAAACTACGCTAAGTCAGCCTATACTAGTAAAATGACAGTGTGTGTGTGTGTGTGTACGTATCACCAAAGATCTCAATAAGCGATTGACCTAGAGACACGATTTATACCTCATCAGAAATACTTTCATGCACGAATGTCGGAAATATTTTTTTCAGGGATCTCCTATCAATGATGAGCTATATTTTAAAAAATCTTTAATTAAGCCCCAAAATATGAGGTATGCATGCAACAAAGTAGCAACAGAGGACATCACAAACCTTTCTAGAGAGATCCATCTGTACTGATATATTCTGCAACAAAGTAGGGACAGAAAACCAGAGCCATTTTTGGGGGGTATCTCCTATCGTTATATAAAGAAAAGTATAACAATACCAAAATCAACATTCCATATTGGATCTTTTGATTGCAAGTGTAGCTGCAACAGGTTCAGCTCGTATAGTATAAACAGAATTACAGCTCATAAACCTCTTAATAGCTCAAAGCTGTCAAAACCTGGACAAACGTGTATCACTCAACGTTTAAATAATACTGATTGATTGTACTCCGTCCTTGGTTTTATTACAACAACAACTTACACTTATATAGCGCCCTCCACGCAGGACAGCATCTCACAGCGCTTGATAGCAGAGCTACAGGATAACACTGCAACAAATTCATACACTATATCTCTGCAAGACTACCTCCTGAAGATGGTCTCGATTCTCCGCAACTGGACCAACTTGGCACAGTGCTGAGGAATGGACCCTCTACTATGGACGTATTTTAAGAAGAAAATGTTGTGATGCAATAGTACCATAAATACATGGAACAAAGTGTTACTGATTAATTCCACATTAAATTGGAATTGCAAAAGGTTGTTAGAGCAGTGGTGGTTAACCTCTTTGCTTGGCCAACAAAATAAATGGTTTTTGATTGAATATTTCTTGATTTATGGTATAATTCTATAGCAATAATGCTATATTGTTATTTCTATGATTATTTTGTTCGCCAACCAAAAAAGGGTTCGGTAGAGCTCAGTCTAAAAGCTACATTCTTCATAAAAAAATGCTTAAAGACAATTATAATTTTGAATAAATGTTACAACTACTGGAGTCCTGTAGCTCAGTTTTGCAAGCTTTGCAAGCGAGAAACCTGGTTCGATTCCCAGCAGAGTGCAACCTTGGGCAAGTTTCCTTACTCTACACCCCTGATAATAATCCCTCAAGATAAACAAAAATAATAAATTGGTCACTTCAATCTACAACTGTTTGTGGGACATCGTTGTGCGCAATTGGCTGCCGCATTTCGTCCACAAATATAGTCAATTCACTTTATTCTGTGAAGCGCTTTGAGACGTCTAGAAGACATGAAAAGCGCTATATCAAATGCAAGAATTATTATTATTACAACTGGTGGACTGAGAGGTTACTAATTTAAATGGGATTGGGATTTGACCTGGTGATTGATACTGAAAACCCCATGTTTCCATTACAAACCTCTTTGGTGGAAACCTTTACTTAGCTCTCCCCTTCTCTAGCCATCTTGGGAGTTACTATCCAAGTCCCAACATGTGTCTATGATTGTCTTTCAATGTACTTTTCATTTGCAATGGAATCGTTTTTTTCTGGCATTAGAGACTGCACGGAGACCACCTCTGCCCTTATGGAACTAAGCTGGAACCCAACCTATAATTACATTCTTTCAAGATGTTATTCACCACAAGCGGTTACATAATACTGATGAACACTGCGCTTGTTTGAATAGACCTGAAAAATCATAAAAAATCTAGGCTTGCAAAGAATCCTTTAAACTTGCTTCTTAAAATTAACAATTGAAGAAACCACCTACGTCTGTGATGTATCAGTAGACAGATTAATAAGTTCCTCTTAATCCACTGGAAAAGTCATGTGAAAACCATGGATTTCGATAAACCAAGGAAACGTAGAAATGGTAGAAAGTATACAAAATGCAGGTATAATTGAGTTATTCAGAATTTAATTCATTTCTTAGATTGCCCGCAGCCCTTAGCAATATATAGATATCTTAGTGCATCACAGCTGAGACTTTTAATGGCCAATATTCAAGTTAACGTACATATGGTGGCTATTTGTGCATCTGAGAGCATGTTTTAAAAAAAATATTTACACAAAATATTGAGAGTGGTTCAACAACAAACGTAAATCAAGCCCTGGGGGAATAAGTCCATGTCACCCTTCTGCATGGTGACATCTGCAGCGGCCTGCCACACACACACGGTCTAATCAGAGAGATTCTGAACGGGAGGGGGGGGGGTGAAATCCACATTCACATAGAACTGCCGAGAGGTTAAGCAATCCAAATGGATTCCTTTTGCTGTTTACACAGGACTCTTTTTTTTGTATTACAAAAACGCTTCAATACAAAATAGAAATCCTGCCCGTCACAATATTCCAGCTTCATGGATTTTCGGTGAAAGTGTGGGCTCGAAAGACTGAAGTGACGATCCTTCCTCCAGTGGTGATGATATTGTCACTGTCTGAGCTGGATTCTGCGTCTGAGTCACTGCTGCCTGAGTAGGCCCCGAGGCCTGGTAGTATTCCCACACAAACAGACGCTGGAGGATGCTGCATTGCTACACCCATCGTGGAGTCGGACGGTGCTTGATCGCAGGAGACATCTTCTAAACGTAAGATCAAATAAGATGTTAGAACACAGCGCAGTGTAACTGTAGGATAGCGTACAGGTACCAGCACCATCCACTGGGGCACAGGTGAGCAGGTTGTAGGTTCGAATCCAGTCTCGTGTGCTTAGTTAGCAGATCTCAGGCAGTAGTTGGGGGAAGTAATAGGAAGGGGAATGTGGGTGGGAGGGAGACGATCCAACATTCTTGCCTTGATCCCTATGAAGTCACGCCGGCTGGAAATTTGGAAAAGGATAGATGCCTTCATTGAAGGAGCAAACACCAACACTAATATAATGGGTCGACCTATGTGTCATAGATTTCTAGAGCTCTAACTGGAGGAGTGTCCCGCTACACCACAGAGCAGCAGTACTTCCCATCACTCTGTGGACCTGGAGGATATGGCCTTCCATTGAAGGGGGGAATTTCAAAACAACTTTGCGGAAACACTATTTCAGTTAGCGAACTAGGGAGACTGTGGAAGCAGAAAGTGTTGATTGTTTCAAAAGCAAATGAGATTGATTTCTTTTAGGTAATAATATCTTGGGATACAGTATATAGTTTGGGACATGACATGTGCATGCAACTGCCAGGATGGTGGAAGGCGAACTGGATAGATCTTGGTCTTCTTTCATCTAGCAATTCTTATGTAGATTCATTTGCGTCACTGTACACAGCTTCTGAGCAGAAACCGGGCACACAAACAGTGTCAATACGTTTCTTTGCGACAGATGGAGGAGATTGATGCAAATTACAACATGCTTTCAATAAATTTCATGTAATGTACCGGTTCAACCAAAAAGATTGAGATCCCTGTGTTTTCCGGAGCTGTGACAATGTGCCAATGCCGTCATGTTATTTTTTAAAAAATTATATTTTAGGAAATGCTGTACAATTTATTGCTGTCGCCTAACATTGAAAGGCCGGGCAATACTTAAACTGGAAACACAACGATCCTTCATTTTAGACTGATACATACAATTGGTTCAAAAGTTTTCAAATTAACCTGGCCTTTCAGACAGCATGCGTTGTCCAAATTGGAATCCCAAATCATGCCATGGTTTGTGTATTCCTCGAGGGGGAAGCAAGGAAATGACTGCGAGGGAAGAAGGTTGGGTTTGAATAAATGCAGATATGGGAATCGATGTTTCAACATAGTTATCTTTCAGGGATTCAGGAAGTGCTTATTTTCCCCTGGGAGACAGATGGAAATTATAAATTAGTAAGAATCAGTGCAGAAAAAAGTCAAAGTCTTCTTTTTAAAAAAAACATTAAAGAAGTAGAAGATGGATATAATTTAGATCCAATATGACACATTGCAGAAAATATTTGGGTTAGGGTTAGGCACACTCTATATACACACACGTATTTGTATAATATGAGAAGTTTTCATTTCAGAGTTACCACTCAACAAATGTCAATCACTGTACACCACACCCATATAAAATATTAATAATAATCCTTGCATTTGATACAGTGCTTTACCAAATCTTCGAGACATTTCAAGTGCTTCACAGAATATACTGTAAAAGTGAATTGACTGAATATTTTGTGGGCGAAATTGCGCACAGCAGTGTCCCCAAACAGTCAACAGTGACTAAATTATTTTAATTTATTTTTGAAGGAATTATTATCCCTGGAAAAGCGATCTGCCAATCGACAAACAACCGGATTCCTACTTATTTCTAGGTAAACAGAGGCATGTGGAGTAACAAAACTTCCCCAACGTTTCGCCCTCCATATATTGCTATCTAGAACACAATGGCAGCACATGTTTGGGAACAGTCATACCTTGACAGTCACCTCCCTCATTGTTGTCCAACTTTTGCTTCTTGACAATTTCAGAAGTCTCGGTGCTGGAATGAAGCACAGTAACATGGTTATTAGGCTGGAGAATGGAAACAACAGCTAGTTCCATAGGGAGCTAAAAATTGGGTTCCTCTACCTGAAAATCACAAGGTATTAATATCCCCTTTGTCTGAACCACTCATTTGAAGGACAATCACACCTGGTTCATGGCAGATAGGCAAACAGCACCACAGTAAGACAACATTAGGGACAACATTCCTCAAGATTTTGAGATAACATTCAAGTAAATATTCTTTCTTCTCCCTCCGTACAAAAAAATCTTTCAAAATACTGTATTACAGAAGATGAGGGACAACATTCAGGTGTACTAGAATACAGTGAGTCCTGCTTAGTAAGGGGCAGGGGGAAGCATTTGACATCTAACTTGCTCCACCAGATGGGTAAAAGGAAGGCATCTGTTAGATTTGGTCAGCAGCATGGCCCCCCGTTTACTGAGAGAAAAAAAATACATCAAAATCTTCAATGATGGATGGATGGATATCACAGGCTGAGCCCATTGTATAAAACAATCATGGGCACAACATTATTAAACACAACGCTTCACCATACAAAATGCACCTTCACTCACTGTGATGAGCCTGTGATATTTCATACTTGTGAAGTGAACTTTGTATGCCTGTTGCCATTGTGAGTTATCATCTGTGGGCGGCTTCGAGCCATTGCAGAGCAGTGCAGCATGTGCAGAGGTTTGTAACTGCTGATGAACCATTCCATTTAAGTGCCCTCGGGGCACATGACTTTACCTCAGTCCGAGAACTACTTCCTTCGGGCGCACAAAACTAAAAATTAAAACCTTAGAAAATAGAAAGCTCTGGCACTGAAGTGAGCCTTTTGGTTCATTGTGCTTGTATCGCCGTTTCCTTTTTACTTGTTAATCCCACTTTCTAGCTCTATGCCTGTGTCCCTCAATGCTTTATTTAGTTGCTCATCCCTATTGAACGATTCCACAGAATCATTAATTCCAGAAAATGAGCTGATGACTTGCCCTGAAGCATGGGGATGTTTAAAGCTGCATTCGGGGAACTGAAGAGCTTCTCAGAGTCGACATCTTTTAAATTCACAGCTGTCAATCGTCAGTTCAACTTAGCAGTCGGGAGATGAATAGGAGAATTTTAACGGCATATAAATGAAAATTACACACAAGTTGCTGCAGCCTTTTTGCTCCCTTTGCTTGAAAGTGCTCACTGAGTATCTTGTAAATTATCATAATTTCATGCATATTTATAGCAACTTATCCACTTAATTGCAGGGCTTTGGTAACGGAGACCTAAAGTGCCATCGACAAAGTTTTATTTAACAAGCAAATTTTCAGTGGGTTTTGTCATTGATTATGGTTTGGATGGAGGGGGGCGGGGGAGGTGGGAGAGGAGAGAGATTTTAGAATCTTGTCTGAAAGCAATGAGATTGTGGCCAGGAAAAGCAAGAAGATAGATAGCGGTAAAGAAATAAAATGTTAATAATAGTCCTTGCATTTAATATAGCGCCTTTCACATTGTCAAGAGGTCTCAAAGTGCTTCATAGGATATACAATAATGTGGATTGAATGTGTATTTTGTGAGCGAAATGCGGCAGCCAGTTGCGCACAGCAATGTCCCACAAACACTGGGAGAAACTCCCTTCTGTTTTCGAATAGTGCCATGGGATCTTTAGCATCCACCTGAACAGGCAGAGGGGACCTCAGTTTAACGTCTCATCCGAAGGAAGGCACTCCGACAACAAAAAAGCACCCCAGCACTGGAGTGTCATCTTGGTGTTTCCAAATTGTGACGTGGGGCTTGAATAGACAATCTTCTGACGCAAAGACAAGCGTGCTATCACTGCGCATGGCTCACACACAAAAATTAATCTGTGAGCAAAACAACAGGGTGGGGAACTGCACACAATCCTAAAATTATGGGAATAAAACTGAATTCAGATAGAGGTCTAGCAATTCTCTGCTCGCACCAGCACCCTTTAAAACCTCAAGAGTTTGTTAAATACCTTGTACTGAAGGGAGCACGATCTGGAAATATAACTAAGACGTTAGCTCATTGCAGTGATAGTGACTTCAGTTCTATCTGAAAATCCAATCCAACGAGCAGATTTGTGAGGTCGTGCCAATAATTATGAGCTCAAATCCTTTAACACTCTTGTTCAGCCAGAAGATTTAAGGTTTGAGCCTAGATTTCCTGAAACTTGTACTAGTTTGCCTCAGTTTGTGGGAGATGTGAGGGAAATGTGATCTAATCAGGCCTCAAGATGAAACAGAAATTGAGCTGGATTGAGCTGAGACACGCTCTGCTTAAATTGATCATTAAAATTGGTTGTGGAAAAACTATAATATAACAATAAAATAATAAAGTACAGTAGTACAGAACATAGTACAAAACATCCTATTCTCAGGCAGGAAGAGGTTATGTGGCATGCAACCTTGCATGAAAGAAAAGGATCAGCTCAGTCCTGAAATAACGAGGATCGAAACTTAGAATTTTGTTTCAGCACAGAGGCCATTGAATCTGTTTTTCTGTTGCCTTTTCTTTCTATTGATTCCACTTTCTAATCATGGAAATGTTGTATGTAAGCTTCTTTGTTCTATCATTATCACTTCACCCCACCCGAGGATATTTCATGCTCAGGCACTCAGTTTCTTTATGCAGCCTGGTCTGGGTGAAAAAAACAATAAGCCTGGGTATGAGCCAAGTTAAAATTAAACTCAACACTGATCGCAGTTCATGCAAAACCATGCAACAGTGCTATAGAAACAATCCATTAGAATATGAAGCAAGCAGTTGCTTACCTGTCATTGGCACATTTGATGTTAAATAATTAGCGTGTGTTATTATCTAAGGGTAACATGCTCGGAAGTATCGAAAGCAAAAGAGTTTAATATATGACACAATCATATTGAAATTTCCCTGCGTCTGGCAAGGAATGTGCACTCTCTCCCGCTGGAGGGACACATCCTTCTTACCTAATCCCAAAGAGTATTAAGCGCAGATTGGCCAGAACAAAGTTTTGGGGATCACAGAGTGTGCATTGGGGTACTGTTGGGAATTTAACCAGCTAAAACCACATAGCCTCCTAATGAGAGCAGGATCTGGCAAGCTGCGTACCCACCTATTAAGGCTTTGGCTTGCAGGGATGACATGAGGAGAGTGGGAAGAATCCCTGCCCCTAGTCTGCACCGCCAAGTCCTGCAGACAAGCCAAGTCTGTCATCAGCATTGCAGGGCTTTATTCATGAAAGCAAGATATTAGAGTGGTTATCTGATATTACTGCAGCAACGGAGATAGCCGTGAGTTAGTCTTCAGGTTTCTGTAAGAGCAGATTATCAATGCAGTACATTATGTTATTTCCAAACAGATGGGTGCTGTCAGTTCTGTCATTTCTATTATAATTATAGTCATGCAGGCAAAGCTGGACCTGCCTATAAGCAGCAGCCAACCATTATGTTTCTATTCAAAGAATGATTTCCGAAATGGATATTGTCATTACGCTAATAATAAACAATATGGTTAAAAAGTGATTGATAATAAAAAACAAATTTGAAAAACTTGAACAAATATAATCTACTTAATCTTTCCCCCCAACTTTATTGCACTAAAAAAAACTATATTCTGATAAGCTATTATATTATAAACCATCACAAGACTATTTATATCTATAGGGAGTCCTGTAGCTCAGTGGTTAGAGCACTCGCCTCGCAAGCGAGAGATCTGAGTTCTATTCCCACAGGGCGAAATGTTGGGCAAGTTTCCTTACTCCACACGGCTCTGTTTACCTAGCAGTAAATAGGAAACCGGTTGTTAGCCGATTGGTGGATCACTTTCTCGGGGATAATAATCATTCAAAGAAAAACAATAATAATTTGGTCACTCAATCCACAACTGTTTGTGGGACACCGCTGCGCCCAATTGGCTGCCGCGTTTTGGCCACAATTCACTGTAAAGTATATTCTGTGAAGCGCTTTGAGACGTCTAGAAGATGTGAAAAGCGCTATATCAAATGCAAGGATTATTATTATTTTTTAAATATGCTAAAGCTAGGACCGGTCAAAGAAAGACAACAATGTAGTATACAACATTCACAGGACAATTGTTTTATGTATGACTACTTAACCAAATTAGTCTCATTAAACATATGCATGTAGAAGATTATTTTTGTTAACTTAAGACAGATGGCTAGATACTATTTGACTCGGCTTGTTTATCAGAGATTGCACGTTGTATCAAATACCTTAAAGTTAATGATTCATAGTGGGGTTATAAACAATGGTGATATTCTATTATTTTAAGTGTATGCAGTGAAATCACACTGGCATTTACTCAACTGTCTATCAGCAAGTAAAACAGTTCTTACTGCATTCAAAATGGTAGAGGCATTCATTTCAAAATGGGTTAATGCACCAGTACTAGATAAATATTTTACCTGTTTCTATGTTAAAATTAACAAATTTATTAGACAATTTAGGTTCTGAAAAGATTTTAGAAATTCCCCAAAGACAAAAAGGCTCTATATGTCAAATAATTATTTCTTGGAAACTCAGACTGACAAAGCTCAATCTAACAAGAGTGAACTCATCTGCTCATCCCTTCAATAGTAAAGAGCACTAAATATACATTTATGCTAATCTTTACATGCATTAGATCTGCATGAACAAAATTAGGATCCTCTTATAAACAGTCATTCTTTAGAGATACAAAAAATGACGAAATTTATCTGAGGATATTTAGATGCGTTTTCTATGCTGTAACTGCTTGTTCTCTACATTTATTGCATACACCCCAGCCTTCAAGATGTTCCCAGAGACAGTCAATTACACTCGGAGGTGGGATATGAAGAACTCAACGCCACTACAGTTTATCTCCTGCACCCAGACAAGCAGCCAGAATTGGAAATTCATCCCCGAGAGAAGCCTGTGTGAAAGTGTCAGTCACTGCAAATCTTGCAGCATTGAGTCTTCAGTATTTTAGTGTTATCGCTACTTGGCTTGACTCACAGTATCGCACTCCACTTACAGCAGCTATTATTTGAAAAAGAATAAGTACACAGGAATACTTCACATGGGTTACTTATTTAATGGAGAATTAGTTTTGCAAAACATGGCACTCGTCTCAAAGCAATGAAATAATTACATCTTCTTGTTACATGGATCCGTTATTAAACAAATAATGAGCTTTTTTCTGAATTAATTGAGAAATTCAATACGATTTGCCAATATGATTTCATTCTCTACCCTACGATAAGAAAATAACATCATTATCAGCACAAAATCCTTACTCTGAAAAGCTGATGCAATATAATGAAAATGATATTACACTTGTTGGCAGGGTATAGAGGGACACTGCTTGAGCCTTTTATCAGCAATGTTGCCAAACTAAGGTAGATAATCCCAGAATAATAAGCTTTAAATAAATCAAACACAATCCCTTTATTTAAAGGTGTAAGGCTGTATTCTGTTCGACTGAGAACTCAACATATCAAACATTCAATCTTTTCCCAGTACATCTCAAACCTATATAATGAATAACTGGGTAGTGCAAGTAACTTGAACAAATGCCTTTTTTTCTCTCTGAAGCCTGGTTCGAACTCTGTTCAGATAAGACACTTCTCTTTCTCTATGGCAACCTGTACTGGCCTCAATCCAGATGAATCTGGCTAGTCCCAACACAGATCCTATTGGGTGTGCAATGCCCAATTACAGCCTAAACTGCCCATCTCAATCCGAGACATGTTGAGTGTAAAAGAGAAATCTCGTACTGGCGCACTAAGTTAAGGTTTCATTAAAATAATAATAACAATCCTTGTACATTCATTTATTTTTAGATGATTTTAAAATTAATTAGTTAATTAATTAATTAAGTGCATGGGCCGATTCTCCGCAGAAGTAGTTCTGTTCCATATCCACCCTAATCTGTGCTGTGTTTTGCTCTGGGGATGTGAAATCCTGACCACAGATACAAAGAGTAGAAAACCATTCCAGTCAGTGGGATCTCTCATTTAAATAAGGCTACCCTGATTGCCCTCCAGTTTCCTTCCCTCCCCAGTTCAGAATGTACTGACGTTTCCTCTTTTCTGTACTGTACAATTCCACAAGCATTGCGCAATCTGCAGTATTTGCCTAAATGTGTGATCTTAGACAGCGAGCGTTGATTGGGCATTGGCTCTTTGATTTGGGCATTAGGGTGGAAGCTGATGCTGTGCTCACCTGCTTGTCCCACACATATGCACATCCAGCAGAAATAACTGAATAATCATTGGAAGCAGTAGCCCCAACTGATAACCCCCTCCCTTACCCAGGACATTGAGGCCAACTGGCATCAGATAACCATTCTTCCAATCTAAATGCATCAGCTACTCGTTGAATAGACAAGCTGAGCCCATAGGCTGCCTTTTCTTTCCATTTTATCCACCAAAACCAGATAATATTCCTTACATTTGATATAGCACAAATAATGTTGAAACATCTCAAAGCACTTCAAGGGGAATATCTGTAAAATGTAATTACTGTGTACTTGCAGGCAATCCCTACACAGCACTGTCCCAACAAATAGCAAATCACCAATATTATCTGGGATCTTTAATGCCCACCTGAACAAGCATTCAATATCTCAGTTTAATATCAAATAGTTCGGACATCAACAATGCAGCACTCCCCCACCAATGCGTCAGATTGTCAGACAGATAATGAGCTCAAAGTCCCAACATGGGGCTTGAAACCTCCGACTCAGAGGCAGGAGTGCTACTAACTGAGCAGTGCTACCAACCTCGTCTGCCTCCCTCATTCTAGCATGTAGCCTGTCTGTCGTTGCTGCATCAAGCGATGTTTCTTGTCAACGCAATGAGAAATTCTCTTTACCACCTTGGTTTAACACTGAATAAGCCAAGGGGAAGGAAGGTGACACCTGCTACAAAACATTGTGAAGTAAAGATTCTCCTCCTCTCCCTTAAAATTGCCCTCAGGGTGGGGTGAATTATACTTGCTTAGAATAGGTAAGAAGAACTTTGCTTTGTATCAACACCATTAAACTGTTTTGGATGAGTTAAATTCAACAGTAAATGCCTGGCGTTATTACATTTACTATTGCTTATGAAAAAAAATTATGGTGTCTGACATCACCTGACTATTCAGAATCAACATGAATCCTGGAACACCTTGTAATGTTATTACCTTCACATCCTTGTAAACATTAGAGCAAGGCTTCTTTCACACAGGATTTCACGGTATGCCTCAGAATTTAATCACCTAGCGGAATACAAACCTTTTACGTTTCACGGCTCCAGCTAACAGCTTGGCTTGAGAGAACTTGCTCTTGGTTTCTGCCGGTTTAGTGGCTGCTTTCTTCTCTGTTTCCTTCTTGCCGTCGGTACTTGCTGTGAGTTTTTTAAGGGCACTGTTACTACATTATTAAGGATAAATAAGGACTTCAAAGGCAACCCCAGTTACACATCTGAAAGGGTTTTGAGGTTCAATCTCAAATTCACAGTTAAAAATACTTAAATGAACAGAACAAATCCACTGAACAGAAAACAATCTATAATATAAGCAGTAGGATAGGAAGGATTAAGACTTGCTAATTAAACTTAAAACACGAACAGCTACACTGGTGTTGTAGCCTTTCCTCATCTGACAATTACATGGTCCACCACCATCACACCAGCTGGCACTGGTTAACTTAGCACAGGGCAAGGATCGAATCTGGGTATGTTTGACTCTGTGCCACATTTTGTGGTGCATTTAAACACTTAGCCATCAGGGTTCTACATTATTAAATTACACCTTTACTGTTCCAAATTGCAGGAGGTAAAGATTGCATTTGCAGGAGTTGTAATAAGAGGGAATGGTATAACCCATTGTAGAATCCTTCTCCTCAGCATAAAGCCAATCTGCTCAGGTTCAAATCTTTTGCACGAATAAGTCAAATGGCAGTCTGTAGTTCACAGAACAAATAATTCCACACAAGCTACTTTCAGCCACTTTCATAGAAATTTATTGGGTCCTCATTTCAGTAGATGAGCTGAATGCTAAGCACTCTCGGAAAAACAGCTGTCCCCTGCAAGAACGCCCTGAGATCAACACACACATATTCATTATTTCCAGCATTTAAGAGATTGCCTCATAGCCCCACGTCATGAATGATTATTATAAATCATTTAAAAAAAAGGTTTCTAAGAAATCTGGTCTCTGTAGATGTTAATTGACTCACATCAATTTTTCCCTGAGCCTTTCTCTATCATCACTCTGACATTGACAGGAACAGAGCTGAAGATGTAGCATTACAGGAAGTGGTATCATACATCACCCCTGAAGCTGGTCACCAATGCAGAAGTACGTGTATTGATAGTTCCAATGTAATGTTGCAGCTGCTGTTCTCCCCAGCACTACTACGTTAGTTTAACCATTACTTAGTACTTTAAAAATTATGAAAACTGGAAAAATTGACAGCGACATTCCCGTTTTAGGCAAATGACGTCTGAATTCAGAAACCAGAAACGGTTACAGACACAACGAATAATGGCCTTGAAACAGCTAGACTCTTAAGTCCTCAAAATCCTTGCTAGACAAACTTCATGCACTGAGTTCTTTCGTAAAATAAAAATAAAAAATAATCCTTGCATTTGAGGAGTGCCTTATCGCCTTGCAAGCGAGACACCTGGGTTCAATTCCCGGCAGGGCAAAACCTTGGGCAAGTTTCCTTACTCCACACGCCTGATAATAATCCCTCCAAAAACAAAAATAATAAATTGGTCATTTTCAATCCATGACTGTTTGTGGGACACTGCTGTCGCAATTGGCTGCCGCATTTCGCCTACAAATATACTGTCAATTTACTTTACAGCATATTCTGTGAAGCGCTTTGAGACGTCTAGAAGATGTGAAAAGCACTATAGCAAATGCAAGGATTATTATTATTATTATTATTATGTTGATGAGACATCTCAAAGCGCTTCACAGAATATATTCTAAAATGGATTATTTTGTGGGTGAAAAAGTGGAAGACAAGGTAAACAAATTTAAATAATCGTTCACAAAAGGAACGGGCAGAAATCTGTTCGCCGAGCAATGGGAGTGGGCACTGAACGCTTACATAACAGCTTATTTCATGTTCTGCCTGCAGTTTCTTTTATACCGGACCAAATGATCTGATTTAAAAACATGAAATACTCTTCAGGGCACACTGCGGGTCTAACAATAATGATCAAAGCAAATTTGGTAAACGGCAGCAACAGGAGCAAAACAAACGAAGCCCATTTTTAACCGTCTTCCCCCACCTTCATTGATCATATTGTGAACTGGTGCAATTAACTCCACAAGAGAAATATAGGGCACTTTCAAACAAAACTCTGCCGACGGTTTGATTTCTTTGAGAAGAAAAATAAATGCTGTGGCGGGTGCGAAGCTTGAACAACAAGAAATGGAACAGGAGAATTTAGAGGTGCCGTTAAGGCAATTAATTGCTTCAGGTGAAATAGCAATTCTTACTGACCATCACCCTGCACAATGAAACATTGTGGTATACAAGGATTTTAAAATATTTTGAAAGAGCTGCCTTGGTTTGGTTCATCTCCTGAATGACTAATGATTTATTTTCCCCACCCGCTTCAATCTACTCCCCTGAGCTTACTGACTGGCTGTTGTACAGGAGCTGGACACTTTCTGGTAAATGATCAAAGTGGTTGTTTTTCATGTGTCAGACCATACAATTGTTGGCAGCTTCTTCAACCTGTTGTAGAAGGTGGAGGAGTGGGGGGAAGTGAGAAGAAAATCGACACTGAAGCCAATTTAGTATCCCTACTGCTACTCATCGTGGTTCACTCATGACAGATTAAAATAGATGTTCTGCCTCCCAAAACACAAGTTACATTTCATCATTTTTCTGTGTGTGTCAAGGTACAACAATAGCACCAATTTACAGAGAAAGGTCAGCAGGGATCGCCACTTGATCTGTCAATGTAGCCACACAAGTTGCTGTCAAACTTCGAGTGGATGGGGCAACCTTCTGTCTTGTGCCAATTATCTTTATCAATAGAATGTATAAAAAGAGAGGTATGGATTTCACAGTTAAATAGGAAAAACACATATAATTAAATGGGATGTGCAGCTGAGAGGTTCCCCAGTATTCACTATGTGCCTGCAATCAGGAATCAAATGGTTCTTAATAAAAGGATATTCTATACTCATTAAGTTCCTTGGCATCTTCGTCTCTGCGCTGTTTCTCTACAAGCATCTGTTGCCTAGAAACTTCATCGAGGTAGCTTGTTTCTTCCTCGTCTAGGCCCCTCACCATGTTTTCTGAATGGAAAAAAATAAAAGCACAGCACTTTCAGCATTAGTGTTCATCAGATGTCCTTACAACCAAACAGCTACACCTGCGAAGCGTTCAAAAAATATTCCAAGGAGAAGGACAAACCAAAGACTATCTGGTGAGCTCCATCAGCTCTTTTACTGTAATGCAGTTGATGAAACAAATATAATTAATCCCTTTAAATGTATAAATATAAACAGACAGAGCATGAAGAACCATAAGGGACAAGTACGTTTTTGAAAAAGTGATTCAATAACTCAAACCCAAATGTTTTGTCCTGTTTACCGTTCTACGTAATTCAATGTTTCCCCTCCAGAGAATCCTCTGCCTAGTAAGACCTATCTGATAATCTTACTTTCCGTCTGTTTACCGCTATTAACACAGAAGACTCCCTCAATTTTCATAATCCAATTTTTCGCCCCATGATAATCCATGCTCAGTAGTGCAAATAAAGTATATGAACAGACATGTAGAAGTAATTAGATTCCCACTAGGACCTAATGTTGTATTCCCAAGGAAGATCTCACAGCTCGTTTTTTTAAAATTTGAATTAAAATTTTTTTAAAAAGATCCTTTGTCCTGTTTGAAATGTGACGGAAATCTTTACTTTCACATCTATGGGGTGAAATTCGGTGCAGTTACTAATCTTGGATATCACACGGTATCATCACAATATATCGCTTATTAAACTCGGTGTCAAATGCATTCTCGAAAACCGAGCTAACGGATTAGATGTTCTATTCAGAAGCCTGACAAAAGAGCTCATCAGTGGCGAGAGAAGGGATTTACTTCAGTAATCTACTTTCATTCAAGTTAACTTTGCAAAATCCTGTGATGCCACCTGGTGGATGCAGCAATGCCGAAGGGCATGCACAATTCACTGGAAGTCAAACTAGAAAAAACATTTAAGGTTAATATCAATTGGTTAGTTAACATTGCTTCAAGTGAAACAACATCATGACATATTATTATACGGGGTTGGTAACGGTCCTATGATGGGCAGGAATGGTATTTTGGCTAATCTTGGACACCTCTTAAATCGGAGAAAACAGCCGTCCCCAATGTATCTGTCTTAACTGGCTTCGACTGTTCATCTGACACCTTGTATTGGTGTATTGCTACGTGGTTGCATTGGAGTTTAGGCTGTATTGGGTTTCTGCAATGGGATACTGCACGGATTTCAAGGGGTTCATGTAGATAAGGTAAAAGCACCGGCTTACTGAATTTAAACTGCTCTTCATATTCAAATTGTTTCTTTTCTTTCTGTTCTTGAAGCTTTTCATATAGTGACCGAGGATCATAGGCCTCCTCAGGGCATTCTGCAAAAAAAACAAAGGTAGAAGATAGAAAATTAGAGGCGTTAGCCAGCCAGTAATCAGAAGGTCATGCTATTTTACTATAAATTCACTGGCTTGATCCGTTCAATGCTGAGAAACCTTTTCAGCTGCAAAATACAATAACAGCAACACTTAATTTATAGAGCAGCTACAAAAATTGCTGCATGCCACCAATACAAGGTGTCAGTAAGGGTGAGGAGGGGGTCCAGAAAATTCCAACCTACCTTATAAAAGGGTGACCAAGCGGTCAGTGCTTCTGCAAGGTAATGAAGCCATTGCGTATGTGCACAGAAAGCTGTCTGGTTGGTCTCCCATTGAACACTGCTATAATGGTCACATCGCGTTTCAAATCTTGCTGCCATGCTTCAAAACCTGTCATCGCACTTCAAATCCATTTGTCCTGGTAACATAATTTGGGTGGCACGAGGCCAGAATTCAGATTTGTAATAATAATAATCCTTGCATTTAATATAGTGCCTTATCACTTCATTGAGAAGTCTCAAAGCACTTCACAGAATATACTGTGAAGTGACTGTATATTTTGTGGGTGAAACGTGGCAGCCAATTGAATAATTTGGTCACTCAATCCACAAATCAGTTGTGAAATGAGTGACCAAATGATTATTATTATTATTTTGGAAGGGACTGTTACCCTTGGAAAGCAATCCGCCAATCGACTAACAAACAGGTTCCTACTTGCTACGAGGAAACAGAGGCGTGTGGAGTTCCAGCTAAGAAAATGTCAGGGTCCACAACCCAATCACCTTATAAGTATTTTATAACAGGATTTTCTCACATATAAATAACTGCATTACCGTGCAGCTTACTGGCCCAAGCACTCATATTTATCTAGGTGGAACCATCCTACCCATTACAGCTTTGAATCACTCAGTGAGGGCAGGTTTTCAAATCTAAATGATGAGCCCCAAACAGGCTGGTCAAGCATCAATAATTCCTTAGATTACTGCAGGCCTGCCTATCTCCTGAGAGTTAGTTCAACCCCGGGAAGACCGCATTTACCCAAGCCTTTTCAAAAGGCTTCCACTTTTTCAAGCAAGTGAAGATAAATGGATTACTACCAATGAAACATTTTAAATATCAATACATAGATTTGGATTTGGTCAGTCATAAAGACCGTAAAAGAAATAGAACAACTTATTATACTTCAAGCACAAACTATTACAGTGGTTACTTGCCGAAGATATAGCACGATAAATATCGATGTCTCAAAATTATCAATAACAGTTTTATAAATAATGATAGCTGTTTATTAAACTCTCCTACAAATGCTTTTTAGTCAATTTGTTAGTTCACTAAAGCTGGGTATAATTCGATATGAAAAATACAGTAATAGTACTAAATGGAGTATTTTCATTAGTGGCACCATTTGTAAGAGAACGGTAACATTACCATCCGCAAGACAATTACAGGCTGTAATTTGTAACAAGTGAACATTTGTTAAGTATTGATTACTTACCGTAAAAGACCTGAGACAAAGAGCATGTATAGTCAAGGCCAAGTTATTTATCCGAGGGTTTAAATACAATGCATTTCAGTCTCATTGCATAAAGCATATATTTTGTTTCTGTAATTCCGTGCTTACTTTGCTTTCGAGGTAGCTCTTGACTAAATATTAGAAAGGTGCAGAATGGAACTCTGCATCAAGCAATGCCAGCAGGATACAACATTAGAACCTGCATTGCATTGACATCCGGTGATGACACAGAGTAAGTGCTGTGCTTCAACACAACAAAGCTTGTGACTGGACTTTCAGCTGTAACCAGCCATATCTACAGTTAAACAATACCCTCTGGATCAGTGAGAGAAAGAAGAGCTGTGCATAGGGTATGTAGCAACAAAGCAGCTCTCAAAAAATATAGGAACATACATTGCAGAAAATAGATCCCTTTGTTCATACAAGATATGGGGCAAGGATGGGTAATTAGAGTTGAGGTACATATCAGCCATGATCTTCTAGAATGGCGGAACAGGCTCGAGGGGCTGATTGGCCTACTCCTGTTCCTATGTATTGTGTTCAATGGAGGCAATGCTAAGCTACTCCTCCTTCTAGTGCAGACACAAACAAAGGTTTATATTGATATTTAATGATCATGTTTAAAATGTACTGTTTCCCCCTGTACTGGCATTGCAATACTAAGGGAAGCTCTTTTAAGAGATCAAAGCAAAAAGGCCAAGAATCATAATGCCCGGCACAACACATGATTGAAAAGCACAGATAACAAGGTGAGGTAAGTGATCAGATAATGTCAGGCTTTGGTTTTGAAAACCTGTAGATAATAATCTTTACATTGGATACAGTGCATTATGTCATCAAGACGACTGTTTGTAGGACACTGCTGTGCGCAATTGGCTGCTTTGTTTCGTCCACTATATATAATTAAAATCAATTCACTTTACAGTATATTTTCTAAAGTGCTGCGAGATAGCTCGAAAATGTGATAAGGTGCTATATCAAAGGCAAGGATTATTATTATATTTTGCCCCAATGTCTGAGATCACATCCATTCAGTCTACTCTGATGCGTCTTGCCTGGCGCCAACTGTGAAACGAAAGGTTACCTAACGGTTTCATACTTGAAGACAAAGATAAATATACAGCAATGCACATAAGTGACAACAGTCAATGAGTCTAAATTTCACCGGAGTTGAGAACAAGACGACAAAGCTGATTTTCTCCCTCTTTAACTATAGTTGAGGACAAATGTGTCTTAATTTGAAGCAGCCTTTAGATGCTTTCAATTATGGTTCAATTATAATGATTCAGCCTATTTCGAGTTCCAGAGTTAATAGTCAATAGAACACGATGTCCCACATATTGTGTTTCAGGCATAAGAGAAACTCAATGATGCACTGTATGTGTTTTATTCTCATGTCGCTACTTGAAATTCAGTGCATGTCTCCTTCCATTGTGAAGCATCTGTCTTGAGGGACGTTATTTAAAACAACTCCAAAATGTGTTGCGAGATAAATTTATTTTTAACACCAGCCTAATATCAGAGATAAATGAGTCCATATATAAAAGCGAAGGCGGAGTTTTCTTTCTGAGAACTTAACTGTTCAAATTGAAAAATGTTCAGTAGAAAAGGAATTTAACTGAGGGCTCTCTATTGTACATGCTATCTACAATTTGAATGTTAAGCAGGTTATCCAAACAAGCAAGGAATGATAACAGAACCTAATCCTGTCCTCATCCCCACCCACACACCAGGTGAATATGGGGCTCAGGTGCCTATTGAACATCTGGTTCAGATCAGCATAAACTGGGATTAGAACTGCTTTACCTACTGGGCCATGAGGAGCTCACAGCATTTATTTCTATTTTATACACTAGGTAACACTAGTGCTACTGTTGCTTCTGTATATGTGCTCATCTTAGGCATGATCATAACTGGAGATTCTTGTAAAATAAAACCCGAAAATCTAACAGCTGGGCCTCAAAATTATGGCAACTGACCTAAAGACAGAAACCTCTGGCAAGACGAAACAGACAACAGCCAGACCAAACCTGGGCCATTAATGGCAGATGGACCATTGCAAACACAGATGCTCAGTTAACTGCATTTGCTGGACCTCTCTACGAGCAGATGTAGGCTCCTGTCACCAAAATGTACTGCAGAAGGTCTACATCTGACAATATTTTCAAATATACAACAGCAAAAGAAGGCATCAATATCACTCCCCATCACGGAGTTGTGATACAGGCGTGTACTAAGTGAGGTGCACCACTGAGTTGTAGAATGAGCTCATGTCCCTCAGTACTTGGTTCACATATTTGGTGTGTATGGAAGGGTGGGTTGCTATGTTCACCAGATCTGTGGGATGCACTTTCTTAAATCAGTGCCTTGGGACCTCCTCCCAACGTGAAAGGCTCTATACAAATGTAATTTCTTGTTACTAAGTGCAAGGATCTCACTAACCGCAAGCATTGCGTGAGTTTTCTGGCAGCAGAGGTTAGCACTGAGCACTTAGCTCAAGAGCAACACTACTTAATGCTTCATAACAGGTCAGTATCTTGATCAAAGAATAGTACACGGCATGTACACCTTGTGTATCTATAAGAGAATAGCACAGGAGAGAATAATAAAAATAAATATAATTGAAGCTCAGAGGACAAAATCAAAGAATTATCAAGTCAGACCAGAGCTGGTGCTGGGACGGTTACAAGCTGCGAAATCATCTTCTGAAAAAGAGCTTTCAGTTTCACTGGATCTCAATTACTAGTGTGGGAAGAACATTCACTGCATGATGTTAAGAATGGAAAGAATCATAAAGGTGGTCCATTGTTAACTGGTCAGTAATTGCTGGTTTATATTTACTGCTGCTCAGCACATACATATTAAACAAACTTTGCTAAATGTTAAAAAGATATTTATTACAGTGATGTGGGAGGACACTGCAATTTGCACACAGTTATAGTTCACCAGCTTGCCACAACCTACTAGAAGTTGCACTATAAATAAAATTCTCAGCACACTAAAAGTTAGGGAAAAGTTAGCCTTCATCTCCGAAGATATTAGATTCAGTTTCCTCTTCTTCTGACTCTCAAGAGTTTTCTTTACACAGAGGGTCATTAATGGCTGGAACAGGTTGCCATTTAAAAAGCACCTTGATGCTGTGATGAGGAAACTGTAGACTGGGTGCTCTGGACGTTAATTATTAGAGTACTTCGTGACACTGCAACTATTCAATGCTGACGGCAAATAAACAGAATCAAACTGGCCTTACTTTATCTCCGTGCAGTATTCCACTGAGATGGTCAATAGTCAGACTTGCTATGCCGAGACATTCCATCAAAACAAAAACTTGCTGAGTTCTGAATAAAAATACGAGATCAGTGTTTAAACAATGTTTTGTGTGCAACTCAGCATTTTGGCTTCATTTCATTTGGGGTTTAGCAATATATTTGCAATGTCACCTGAGTGGGTTTCTTCTGCCATTGTTCTGAGAAAAGAGTGGGAAGCA